ATGGTTGGCTGCCAGTACAGCGCGCTCGAAGCCGAGGACGTGCGAACTCGATAGTTCATTCTGCAATTTGCACCAAACTAGCCAAGTCTACCAGTCTTACGATTAATTTAACCCTCCTCGCCACACCCGGGCAGGAGGCAGTGTCAATACAACAAGCTATGTGCCCCAGAACTGAGTGAAAAATACGGTTTGCCATCGTGTAGGTCCTAAGGTATGGTACCTGAAAACCAATCCCAAGATAGTTAACGAAAAGCTTGATGACTGAAACCCGAGTCGCTAAACGACTCATGCTTACGCAAGCTCTATATCAACAACCGACCCGAGAGCCCACCTCACTTCCTAATTTTCCACGCCAGGCCCAAGACCACAGCATTTAACCGATGCGTTTGCTATACGAGCTGCTGTTTGCATTGTGTGTTGTAATCACTGTGTGCGATGCTGTGTCTCCATCTAATGACTATGCACTCGAAGCTACTGTCCAACAAAGTGGTCGCCTTCGAGCCTCGCATCGTTCCCGTGCCGCTGCTGAGGCTCGTGGCATGCCTGACTACCGGCTGTTAAGGACTGACAGCTTTGCGACGGAGAATGATGCTGCCGACGTTGAAGAAAGGGGTATCCCCGGTTTGTCCAAGCTAAGCGAATGGATCGAGAAGGGAAAATCCAAGATGAGCGACCTGCAACTACGGATACAATACAAGGACGTGGTTAGACACGGCGTGTCGGACGACAGGGTCACAAAAGCGTGGGTGCAACGCGGGAACCCTGCGGAGGATATTTACAACCGCTGGATTCGACTGAAGAAGTCGGACTTAGAAGCATCCAAACTCTTGCTGGAGCAAAACTTAAAACCGAGGGATCTGTATGACCTCTGGGCTGGACGTGGGATGAGCATGGAAGACATCTACAAGCTTTGGCGAGAACTGAAACTGGATGATACTCAAATCTATAACATGTGGGTTACATTACCAGGAAAAACAAAAAAAAACCGATGATGAAATCTTCGCCGCTTGGTTCAACGCCAACAAAAGCATAGAAGATGTTCGCAAGTTGTTGCGGCTCGATGACGGCAACAATTACAGCAATGCCAACACCAAGTTTTGGTTGAAATATATCCATTACTATGACAGACGAAAGGGAGTTATAGCTTGAGGCTAAATAAAACACGGCGTAGTAGAAACTACTGCCTAACAAAAGGCAAGTACTTTGGTATCCATGCACCACCACTTTTTAAGGTTGATGAATTTGATTCGTGCCTGGAGCACATGTAGATAGTTCATGTTCAACCACAAACTAAATGCTCTGGAAAGGAAGGCCGTTAACACAAAGCTGCTAAAAAAAATCGAATTTATTATCAGTGCAAAATAAGTTAGCCTTGACAAAGCGCTCCGATATTAAAAAAAAAAAAATAGTTGCTTATAATATGATGGCTCCTTTTAGAGTTTAATATACAAGAGTTGAGGAGCAGTGCATCTGCAAATGTAGAAAGCTCCTAAGGTCAAAGTCAACTATAGAATCTTTTTTTATTAACGTAGCATTTGCTCAATTCTGTAGTGGAGTGCTTCAATTCTCGAACTACATGTAAACAGGAAATTTATTCCACGGATTTATTTTATCATTTTCGTCCGGCTAAACGAGTCAGCCCGTGTTAGAAGAGAATTAGTAAGTAGACGTGATAATGAATTCTCGAAGATAAGTAACAAAATAGCAATGCTATAAGAAATATATTTCAGAGTCTACCGGGGATCCGATTTTCCTCGCATAGCTCATGTATGATCCTATAATCGTACCCTCTTTATATTATTTGACTTGCAATTATTCAGTGAATGAATTCGTAAAGTTGATACCCTTACAGGCATTTGAAAAATACCTCTCTCTGTAAACTAAATGGTCGGATTGTATGGAAATAACATACATTACTGTAAATAGTGTGCGATTAGCAATACCTCTAATCATTTATACCTGCATTGGTTTTGAATCACACACGTGAATGTTAACCCTGTCGGCGACAGTCCCATCTTCGTGCAACATGCAACTGCAAGTAATTTTTATATGGTTATTTATTGATTGTGTTCTTTGCGGGCTAAATACCACGATGTCGCTTATCCCACAGGGTACTTAAGTAATCCATAATGGTGATCCAGGAACCACTTACATATCCAGATCTCTATTTGTGATACACCCACATGCTACTCGCTCTGCTAGTTGTGCCAATACATTCATTATAGATGCAGTGAGAAGCCTAAGGACCAGGTACCCGACCTGCGTTCTTGCCAATGTTGGAACTCCAATTATCTTGCCAGTTCGACGAACTTCTGCAGTAAGTAGAGACTTGAAGGGTCGTAGTAGTTCGTTCTCGTTCGTATACTATGCTTCTCAGCTCTTAATTTTTGAAGCTGGGAAGCGAAGCGACTGCACTCTCAGAAACCTGCACCACTTGTAAGAGCGGACTTCGCAAGAAGGAGATCTCGAGTACAATGTTGCGCTATTGGTCCTACCCAGACAGTTGCTGAGGCATTTGCCCATAGCTCAAGCACAAAGAGGTTGTGGTCAACGTTTGAGCTGATGCGAGGCTCCAAAGCCACGCATTGGAGGTTGAGCTCACCACAGCCTCCCAGGACTGTCCGAACAGTTTAGATCTAGAAACAGATCGAAAAGGACCTACGCAGTTGAAGCCAAAAACAACGCGCAAAAGCGTCGCGCAGTTGATAGGAAAAGGAGATAACCAAAGCAAAAAGGTGACAGAGTAACCTGACTTCTTGCCCACAAACGGAGCAAGTTTTAGATCCTCCGTGGTGTAATTTACCGTGGTCATGCTGTATCATATCGCTGCAAGGGACTAATATCACTCAAGTGCCATTCACCTGCACTTTTTGCACAATCTTATAGTTTTTGTTAACATGCAATGCTCGAAATTTCAGAGCTTCTTTGTGCGCAGCGCGACTTTGTTATTTATTCGCCACAGGCGACAACGCACATGAGGTTGGCAAAATATTCGTCGTCATGATAGGTGTAGCTTTCCAAGACAGCTTAAGACATCGTAAGGGTCCACGACGGTGAACAAATACATTTTTGCTTATTGCATATTTTGGTGGGTTGCCGACCAAACTTAAGCGATTCCGCACATGTTTCCTCGATATTGTTAAATCTTTCTTCAATTGCTACAATTCGTTTCTCAGAGTATTTGCGTTTGTTTGGAAGTCTTTCGTTCAGAAGGTTACAAAAAGCAGGTTACAAAATACAGATGAAGGACAGTCACTAGAATCTAAAATAACCCCACCGTGACAGTTTTGCCCTTAATTGGATTAAAAAAATACCTAAAACACTCATTGGAGGTTTGGGTATTGGGGTTATTATTCTTAGTAAAACAAGAAATATAAAATTAAAGTATTCTCTGACGACTGTAAAAAAATAATCATTCAGTCCAACCAGAATCAACATTCGCTGAGCGAAGAGAGGCGGGCTACACTTCATCTCGGCCAAAACCTGCGTAAATAGCCCCGTTTGTGGAGCTACGCCTGGCTTGTATGGAAATATTATTTTTTTTGTTCTGAATGCCCATGATGTACGCTCAAGCGTCGGTGCATATCCTGCGCCTGCCTTACAGCCGCAGCATCTGCTTACTGTTTTATTGTAGATTACGAGTACTGCCAGAGCTCAAAACGAATGTGTACCTCCGTTGTTTCAGCAGGTTGCAAAAGTTTGTTTCAAATAGAGAAGTATTTTTAACCTGTTCAAAAGTTTTCTATGCACCAGTAAACACCCTGTACATGTGCTCCACGCATCAACGTCTAGTCATTGGATTGGTCATGAGAACACGAGGTACGGCCGTCGATAAATGTAAGACATTCCCCATTTACAGGGATGTTTTGCGACCTCACCGGCTGAACTTTGGCGATGGATGGCAACACCGATGGGTACACCAAATATCGGATAAACTACGAGTGTTACACGAAAGTTGCGAATAATTCTAGCAGGTACTTAATTGTAATCTTCTCCGGATGGATCAGCCTTCACGGATAATATAAATACCCAAAAGGTTAGTGTAAACGCCAATAAATAAAAACGGGAATGTATCTATATCGTGTTGAGACTAGGTATTAATAATTGAAGGATTACAACGTCGTTACTATCCTGGGCAGGACTATGGATATAAAATCCAGAGAACAGGAATAAGAACACACATGCGTTAGCATTCTTTAGGCTGTAACGACGTGTGAGCTGTCGATCCCGGCAATCGCATCTGACAAAACGTACAACTCGTAGTCCACGCTGGTCTTTGGCATAGAGAGCGAGACTTTGACCTTGTGCTTCCACGCCACGTGCTTCACATGCACCAGTTCTCCTTCCTTGGTAGTCAAAATCACGTAGAAGCCGTATGGTTTGGGTTTCTGCAGCCTCGACGTGAAGGCCAGATTCTTCGCTCCTTGGTCGTTCAAGCCCGTCAGCTCCACATCAACCTGTTGGTTCTGCTTCTGGATATCCACACGAAGACGTGGAACTCCTTCCGCCACACGAATAAACTCGTTGATCTTGTGCTTCGTCAAGCCACCGCGTTGGCTCTGTAGACTCTGAAGACGTTCAATGATCTGCGTCTTCTTGCTCTTCACCGCTAGAGCTGCCTGTAACTCAGCAATGTCTGAAATACCGAACTGTTCCTTTAGAAGCTTCACAACTGCTTGCGAAGCGTGGGGCAATTGGCTCAACACTTCCTTGTCATTTGGCCATCTCCCCTGGACTACAGCCTGTGATAAACGGATGCCAGCAAACACGAGATCCGTAAGCTTCAGGTGGGCGCAGAGGTCGATCGCAGCACTCAGAAGACGTGGCAAATGGTCGAGTAGAGTCCGAAGATCGTTGACAAAGTCGCTCGACGGCAAGCGCATACCCATCAAGTGCATTTGGAGCACTAGCAGAGCCTTCACTTCACTCCCGTGAGTCTCCAGTAGCGCCTTCTGACGCTTTGGAGCGCTGGCAAATAAATGCTTGAGTGGTGAGTACTTGACCTTAGCGCAGAGATCCGCAATGAGGTTACTCATGACCTCATTATGCCGCAACGGGATGTCGCGAAGCTCCATACTCGACTCACAAATCACACAAAGCAGCAGCAACGTGGTATCCAATGTCTTCTTCTCAGTAACAGTCTTGAACGCTGTGAGCATGTTGGACACTGTTCGAATGTCCACGTACAGTGACGCAGCCAGTTTCCCAGCAAACGTTGGCTCGAACGATGACGCGCCGTCAGTCTGTGACGCTGTAACACATTGAGAAACCTCCAGCTGTTCCATTGTAGTCGAGATCAAGTGCTGGAAGAACGTCTCCAGCTCGTCCTGCTTCGTAGACTTGTTCGACTGCTTCTTCTGCTTGCCAGGCTTAACGTGCGACTCCAATTCAGTGCCAACTCCGTAGAAACTTGGGTTCTTAAGTACGCGTTGGAACAACAAGCTCCAGCTCAGATAATCCATAACGTCCTTGGTTGAATGGATCAGTCCTGCTGCAATCTCAGCGTTCAAATGATTGGCCAACACCGCGTTGTCTCCAAGGCACGACTCGACCGCCAGAGGTTCGTACAGGAAGCGCTGCGTCATGTTCTTCTTGCTCTCCTCTACCAACACACAGGCCACGCCCTTGTCATCCAACAACGGCCGTCCAGCACGTCCAATCATCTGCAGTAGATCACTCAAAGGATACGAGCGGTATCGTCCGTTCTGGAAGTACTCGGTGCCCTTTACCACCACAAGATGCGCTGGAAGGTTCACGCCCCACGCCAAAGTGGACGTCGAGATCACCACTTGAATAAGTCGATCCTTGTACAGTTTTTCCACCAGGCCCCGGTCTCTCCGTGCCAGTCCAGCGTGATGCAATCCGATACCAAACGACAGTGTGTGCTTCAGCGTCTCGTCCACAATCTGGTTCGACTGACAGATCGAGTCCATGACTGCTTCGTCCATCTTCAAGAAGCGCTTGCCACCTTCGTCAGCGACGCAAAACTGGATCAAATCCAGCGCCGTCAGCTTCGTCTGAGCTTTGGACGACACAAAGATAAGCACCGGTTTGTCTGGAGAATGCGTCTTAATGGCCATGAACGTAGGCTTGTTCATAGCCGCCATACGAGCCACGTAATGACGCTCCGGGAAGCCTTGAATGTGGACATCCATAGGCACAGGACGCACAGATGCACGGAAGTTATACACCTGACCAGCTTCCGGGTTGTTAGCGTTACTTGAAGTGATTCCCCCCAGCCATCGACCCACGTCCCCAGCGTTTGCCAGTGCTGTCGAGAGGCCGATGACTCGAATCGGAGGCCCAGAGCGCTGGAATCGTCTCAATCGACTGATCAGAACTTCCAGTACAGCTCCACGAGGCGCCTCACCTACCAAATGGACCTCGTCTACCACGACAAGAGCCATCTTAGACATCAACGCACGGCCAATTGAGCTGCTTCTTGTCAGGAGATCCCATTTCTCCGGTGTCGTAACCACAATATCCGCCTTGTTCAGGATAAAATCCACGTTAACCAGCGTATCACCCGTCACTTCCACCACCTTTTTACGCAGCTGTGCGTTGTTCTCGAAGCGATTTTTCCACTCCGCCACCTTCTCACGAGCCAGAGCCTTCATCGGTGCAATGTACACGATCAACGACTGAGAAGTGCGTCTTGAAGCACCTTCACTCTTCTCGCTCAGCTGCTTCCACACTCGAAGCATAGCCAACTCGGCACACACCGTTTTCCCACTACCAGTGGGAGCACAGAGCAGTATATTCCCATTCTGATGGTACAGCTGGTGGAAAGTTTGCGTCTGGATCGGGTTAAAGTACTGGAACTTGCCCACATACAGCGCCTGGTACACTGGATCGTCCAGAGACTGGAGAGGCTGAGGATGTAGACGCAGCAGCTTCGTGTACATCTCCTCCTTCTTCTCAACCACTGCGCTCACACTCGGTTTGTAGCTCACTTCGTAGTAAGATTCGATGCCCACAAAGCGATCTGACAGGATTCGAATCACGTAGTTGGCTTCTGTCTGCGTCAGAGAGATAAATACTGGCAAGTAGCACTCCACCTCGAGGCTTTGAGTGCCTGCTTTCCATCCCAAGAAGCGACTTTGATGCAGCACAGAGTACTCGGAATGGTAGATGTATCCAGTGATCGCGTCTTCCACCCAGAGCCATGAGGCCAGCGTTTTACCCTGGAAAACCCCTTCTTTCCACTCTGGGAACAGCGGATAAAGCTCGAATGTAAGCTTGATCATATTGCCTCCAAACGGTTGAGTCTGGACGTTGTCAATGTCGATGAACGGGACGCTTTGCACCCATTTCTTGACCTTAGAATTGAGGTTAAAGGCGCCAGGGTCAGCCACTGCGTCGTACAGAGTCATGTTATGACGCCGATCCACTTCTCCGACGATGTCTAGCGGCACATTGGGCAGCTGTAGCATCGCGTTCTGGTCGAACCACATCTTCTGATCGATACATTTGGCCAATTGGAGGAATTTCTCAGCCTTTCGAGCGCTGTTCTTCTTCAAACAAATCTCAAACAACGCACGACATACTCGAGAGCCATTCTGCGCGACGTAATTCGTGTCGGAAATGAGCGTAAAAGACGACACTCGAGCGCGGCCAATCAGACCCTGCAGCAGAATGTTCGTCTTGCCAGTGTACGTGTCCATGCCGCCTCCCAACACGTCAAAGCGGCAGAATCTGCGCTTCAGTTTCTCCAGCTCCGGCATCTCTTCTTCGCGAGACTTCAACTGCTCGAACTCGTTGCTGCTACACAGCACTAACAGCACCTTCTCCCAGTCCAGATCGTCCTCGTTGTCCTCCTTCTGCCCTGCTTTACTGTCCAGAAGATCGTTAAACGTCTCGATGGACGTGTGTTGGATGTAGAAATGACTCGCCACCCGCCCCATGGACGTCACAGCGAACGCGATTTTACCTTCTCGGTCCGAATTCAAATGCACTTTTTCGCGTAAAATTTTGATCATCCGGCAGGTTGCGAGCTTCTCCGCTGCGTCCGTGAGTAGCTGCCTGCGTCTTGTGATCAGCATCGGGTCTTCGTTCACATCGTCCAGCTTCATACCGTAAGCGAGAGGATTCTTCCTCATGCGTACGTACAAGTACGTGTAGCTAAGCCACGTACAGGCCTCGTCCAGATTGCTCACAGTTCCAGACACAATCTCAGCGTTTAGATGGTCAGGAAGAGCCTTGATTAGAGCAGATTCCATCGGTATACCAGTAGTAAGTAAGCGGAGATAATGAGGAAGTTGGTCTTGAGTCGTCACCAGTACAGCGTCACCACTGGTATCGTACTGTGGACGGCCGGCACGACCGAAGATCTGCATCACATCCAGCATACTCAGCTGCGTCATGCCTCCTTTATCAGCGTTGTACACTTGCGTACCCTTAATAAGGACTGAATGTGCTGGTAGATTCACACCCCAGGCTAACGTCGCAGTACAGCACAGCACACGAATGTAGCCAAGTTCAAAGAGCTGCTCGGTCAGGTTTCGGTCGCTACGCAGCATACCGGCATGGTGGATACCCATTCCGTATCCCAGAAGCTCTTTGAGCTCTTTATTGCGACTCTTTTGCACCCGTTCTTGTAAATTTATAGGCATCTGGAGCTCAGGAGGCGGTAGAAAAGCCTCCAACGTACCAGGCTCTTCCTCGTTCCCACGTGCCAGCTCGACGATACTGTGCATCGTGGCTGCTGTTTCTTTCCGCGAGTGAACAAACACCATCACTTGTTCGTTATGCTGAACTTGTTTTAAACAATGCGCCAACGTGAGCTTGTTCATCATCAACTGGATCTGCCGTTGTCGACTCATAGTCGCGCCTGCTGCTTTCTTCTCCTTGGCAAGATCTTCCTCACTCGCTGTGACTGTAGAGAGCGCTGCTGCACTCAATCCCAGCGCCTCTTTCAAGTTTGCGTTGGTACTCACACCAATGAACGTTTGATCCAAAGGAACAGGTCGGTAGGTCGAGTCAAAGAAGAACAGGCCACCTTTCCCACCGTTCGTAGCTGCGTTCTGCATACGAGAGTCTCCACTCGGAACGTACACACGTAAGAACGACGCCACGTCGACGTAGTTGGGAAGAGTAGCGGATAGACCGACGATCCGGATCATGCTCTGTGTGCTCTCCACTCGACGTAGTGTACGAGCCACAATAGTCTCAATAACGGGACCTCGTTCGTCTGCTAGTAAGTGGACCTCATCGATAATCAGCAGCTTCACTTGACTCAGTAGCGACTGCTGCGTACTGGACTTGCGCGTGATGACGTCCCATTTCTCCGGAGTTGTGACGATCACGTGGGTCTCTTCGATCTCCTTTTTAGTGAGCTGCATATCGCCCGTAAGTTCACGAACTTTTAACTTTAAAGCCTGCAGTCTTTGTCCAAATTTGGTCACCACTTCTTGTGCCAGAGCCTTCATAGGAGCCACGTAGATGATCTTCATGTTGGCCACACCTTGACTGGACTGACGGTTTAACTGCGTCTTGACTTCCTGGAGAATTGTTAGCATCGCCACGTTCGTTTTACCAGCTCCAGTGGGGGCACAGACCAGCAGGTTCTGGTTGGAATTGTACGCCGCGTTAAAGAGCTTGGACTGCAGACGATTGAGCTTCGTGATCCCGTGAAACGCTGTCTGCGCAAAGTCTTCGAGGCTGGAGATTGACACGAGTTTTTCTTCTTTTCCCAGAGCTTTTCTTGCATGGGCAGGGATGAACACGTGCTCGTAGCCTTTGTAGTGCGTTCTCTTGGTGTTTGAGGGCAACGTTAGCGCCCCCGCTGACGCCAACTGGCCTGCTGCAGCAGTGGAGTCGTATCCTCCCTGCAAAGCTCCAAACTCACGCTGTACAAGGGACGAAGACTGGAGTCTCCTCTCCTCCTCTGCGAACTCTCTCTGCAATCTCAGAACTTCGGGATCGTACCCTGCAGCTTCCAACCAATTCACATCCTCCTCTTCTTCGTTCTGTCTATTAGCTCTACGTTGAGCTTTTCTCTGTTGGCGTAGGAATTGCTGCTCAGACTCCGTCTGGATACTGAACCCCGTTGGTCGTGCACCTCCACTCTCGTACTTTTCGGCCATCTCCAGCATCTTCTGCGTGTCCTGCAACTTCTGTTTGGTTACATTGGAATTGCTTAATTCCTTCTGGTTCTGCACTGCAAATGCTATAAGGTCCATGCCCTCAACGCCCACAAGACCGAAGAGTTGGGCCTGCACTGTGTCTGCATCAGGACTGTCCTGCACAGTCTGCAGGACGGATTCGGCCAGCTCCAATGTAGTCAGGAAGCAGCTGTCACTATTGGCCGCTGTGTGCTGAGCACAGGCCGTTAGTAGAAGCTCCGCCGCGTCCTTCTTGGCTTTGGGTTTCTGATCTTTGGTTTTGTTCTTCTTGGAGGTCAACACGGCGCCTACAGCGCCTGCAGCGGCCTCGCGTTCATTGGCTGCACGGAGAGCATCATGTTCTACTTGTAGTACCTTTAGCAGGTCGCGGCGATGCGTGGGGGTTGAAATTTCCCACAATTTGTCCGAGGACAGGAAGGGATCTCGGAATGTGCGACTTTGATTGGTTATAACTTTGCCGGTAGAGCGCGGTGGGAGGCGTGAGGACTCGGAAATCGTTGCATTTTGGCTGGCAACACTAAGTGTCGATGATGGAGCAGGGAATTCGGCGCGCAGGGCCGACAGGAACGACGTCATCACCTCGGGTCGAGTGTTCCCAGTCCGCCAATGATCTTGAGTGCGAGTGAGATTGGGGCCTGTATTGAGGAGTGTACGCTAGTGGGATTACTTGGTATTTGTATGTCAGCCCACCAGAAAGAACGTGCACAGATTGTTCGACAAACTGTGAGTGCTGGTCAATTTTTGCAAGGTTTATTTACTTGTATTTTTAGCAGTGACCTTAACTCGTTGCATGTACTAAGTTCGAATATCAAGAATCAGGCAGCTTGTTTTAGGGTACTATCCACGTTACATTTATTATCTAACTCCCGCCAAATCGATAATTCCTTGCTAAAACAAGCGATGCAGGTGCACTTTTGGGCTCGCACCTCCTGCATTAATGTATTGATAAGACTAACAAGCATCCAAGCCTTCGTTTAAGTCAGAAAGTATGTATATATGACATTTGCTAGTCCAACCAGCAGCTGGTGAAGAAGTTAAAACAGGCTCGATCTCTCTGGGGACCTGTAGTTGTGTCGCGAACTGCTTGTTAATAAAGCTACCTTTTCAAAAGCAATTTGTTTATATCATTATTATTATAAAAATTTGGTTTTAGCGATCAAGTCCTGAATATTAACACAATTTGCCAAGATAGCAAATATATCGAGATTGGTCATCATGAAAGTACATGAGTTTGCTACAGTACAAACAGTGAAGGGACATTTATTGCATAACCGGCTGAATCAAGTATCTTTGATTTTTTTTAAGAATAATATTTGATGCTACAACAGACCAATAGGCAATCATTAATACAGTAGTAGCAGGATTCATGATACACAGTGCTGTCCTACTCGACTTTATCATCCCAATGAAATAGTGACTTGACTAGCCCAAACAGGGCTCGAAAAGTAAATACATCACCACCAGCAACCGTTGGCAGGTGGTGTTTCCTTGACAAAAGCAAAACTCGTTGCTTTGTAGCTCCTTAGATTGTTGTGTTAAACACGAATATATTACATTTCGAGCTTGCTAACCACAGATGTATCCGTTGCTCCCCTGAGTTCGTAGACTTATTTTGTCTTGCCTATTTCGATAGCCTGAAATGGAAACAGGTTTTGGATGGTTCTGTTCCCAGACACCTTGTAGTCGCAAAAGGAATCGGCTTTTATTTTAACCAGGCAACGTTTGCTCAGACTTTTCCTCGTACCAGTATACGGAAATTTAACGTCAGATAAAGGCTAACTTAAAATAAGTTTCGCCGCCTTAGTTGCTGCAAGTTACTGTACTCAGTGCTGGAAATGGGAGTTGAGTTAAATAACATTCATAGCGTGTATTTCATGGATTTGGGTAAAACTAGGATTCAATTCCATTATCAACTTCAATGACGCGTTCAGCGGTGGAACACCGTTGAACTCTTTAATCCCCTCGCATAATACATGAAGGGGCAGCGAGCCGTGGTCCACTGCCAGTGGATGACGATGTTACATCGTCGATGTACTGTAATAGTAGATTCACTATTGCAGATCTCCCTTGCAACATGGTACTTAGTGCTCATACATGTAATGTGGTCCTTTACATGGGTCCTTATTTTTCGTCTGCATCTGCATTAACGTGGCACGAAACACACTTAAGTCTATCTCGGTGTGCTCCCACCACCGTGGTAGTCTATTAATACTGCATATTCGAGTTGATTCACAGAATGAACTGATCGTTTGTATCTTCAACTACTACCAAGCACTCGGTGTCTTTGACTCCAACTGCGACGGATTTCGACAGGTGAATTTTGGTCAACCCTACAAATCGAGGTGGGACCCGCACTAAAATACATGTAATAGGCTTTCCCGTCCAGGTGATCGTGGTTGCAGTCGTGCAAGCTTACGGCGTCCGTGTGGAGAAGCTCCACTAGCGTTCGAGAAGAAACGACGGTGGCGCATTTCCACTTGATTCAGAATGCAAAATGGCTTTCCTCAAGAAATTCAAGCTCCAACGTTGCATTTTTTTTATTAAAGTATCGAAACACCGCCGTGGCGACAGCTCCAGGATGACGATCCCATCGCTTAATCCTAGCGAGGCGCTCGTCTCCATTTTACAGCACTTTGATCCAAAGTTTGGGCGTCTCGATGGACGAATCGAAAGCCCCTTCTGATCAAAGGCGTGCGTGCAATCTAAATCTCGATCCACTAGGATATCTTCCAAAATTTGGGAAGCTTTCCGCCGATAAGGAAACAATTAAATCGCCGCGCTAACCGCACAACAAACGAGAACCTTCCCTTGATGTGTATACTGGTACAATAGTCGCGGTGTCGCGCCTTGTTTCGTTCCCAGCGTTATCACGGGCTTAGTGCGTGAGTACCGACACAACAAATAATACACTTTCTGGCCTTCAGCGATACGGATCGACCCAGTCTTGCCCTCGTGCAGCTTCTGTCAACGCAGAATTGGCGCTCCTCGCCGCCGATCCAACGTTGCATCCCAGTCTTGGGCACGACAGCCCCACCGAAGTTTGCCACCGAATTGTCTAGGCCTGGCTGGACCTTAGGGTGGTGGAAGAAGCAGTGTAAACCGATATCGATTGCGGTCCAAAACCAGTCTCGAATTCCGAGCCGTAAGGCAACCGGATCATCTGGAGACCAACAAAGCGACGACAGGCAAGTCGTTGCAGCTATCACTGCGCCAAAGTAGGAAGATGTTGCAGCTGGTAGGTGGAGTAGGTCAAGCTCCAAAAAGTTGGCACCGCTTTGTTGTTAGCATGACGAGATCAAATTTGTTGCCATGGAGCGTGAAGTTTGAATCCTCGAGCTCCATGCATGCACGCGCTTCCAGACATCTCTGTGCCCCACCGCAACAGCTCGATCTGTTCCGCACAAGTTTTGTGATGGTGCACTTTCACCTGACTGTCATAGTCGTGCAGTATTATCAAAACCTATACCCAATTTCTGTAAACTGGGCCTTTAGGAAAACTCTTCCCCACCAGATTCTAGAAATGGGTATTACGAATGCTTTTGAAAGTGTCAGTGTCAGGCGATTTCAAGCTGTAGGAGCAATTCCTTGCGGCACGTCCAAGCCCAGCTGGAGCACTGGAACCCGGACCGTCCAGGTGGAAAGGCCACCAGAAGGAGCTTTTGAAAGTTCAGCTCGCGTGAGAGAAGGGAGGACCATGATCGATCGGAGGGTGCAGTATAGTCAGACCAAATCGACCGGGTCAGCCGCTCGGTCTCCGCTATCAGTGGAAGGCACGAAAACTCGCACTTGTTGTTCACAGGTACAGTAGTCACCCATGCTGCGTGCGCCATGGCTCGGGGCGCTCGTCCTCGCAACGAGCGGTGGGGTGTCGGTGCTCGCGGACTACCAGACACTCGAAATCTACTCGGACGCCAACTGCAAGTCGATCCCCTTGGTTGTCACTCTGGAGATGATCAATACGACCTGTTCCAAGAGTGACACGTGCAGCGCCATTGAAATCAATAATTCGTCCTACTACTTCGCGGAACGATGTGCCACCGACCGCTTCGAATACACGTCATATCTTTTCAGTGGAGCCAAGTATCTGATGATTGACGGGTTCCAGGAAGAAGGGTGCAAGTCATACGCACGCTCCAATGTCTTCTTGGCAGCGGGCACCTGTCAGCTCGCTTCGTACGTAGGCACACGCAGTGAAATCGCGACGCTATTTAACGACGGATCAGCCTATATGACCATCTACAACGACTCGGCGTGTGCCACCGAGGCGCAGACGTTCGACCTCAAAGCGTCAATTATTCAAGAACATTCGTGTTACCAGGGTTTCAACAAGTTTTACACGTCGGACCATACAGGTATCCTCACAGGAAGCGCCAGCAGCAGCGGCTCCAATACGACGGAAACTACGACGTCCCATGACTCCAACATGACTGCTGGATCGTTGTTTGGCATCGTCGTGGCGTGTCTGGCTATCGTTATCCTTCCTGCCCTACTGATCTACTGGAAGATGCGTCGCTCTAAGCGAAAGGAGCAGAAGCGTGGCGCCGACGCTAATACCCGAGCACGGACGCCCGACGTCGCGCTGGCTGTTAGTGACAAGCACGAGAACGAAGAGCGATATGCACCCGAGATGTCACCCAGGAGTGACCAGAGGAGCACGCTCAGCTCCCACACAGGGGGATCTGGACAAGTACTACGTAGCAACGAGCTGAAATGTGACCCTCTGCGCAGTGATGAATTGCGCGGTACTCCTCTTTATCGTAAGGACGAACGGAAACGACGGAGTGACGAGCTGCGCAGTGGAAACAGGTTACGTAGCGACAGATTTCGTGGCGATTCCATCGGTCGGAGTGGTCGTTTACATACCGACGAGCTACGCACGACTCCCGTGCGCGGCAACCGGATGCAGCGTGAGGATCTGAACAATAATTCGATTCATAGTGACCCTGTACGTAGTGACCGGCTCAAGAATGAACGTCAACGCAAGGAACGGCAGCGAAAGGAGCGACAACGCGGGGACGAACCACGCAGCGACCGTAGTGACCGGGATCGAATGCCTAGTGACCCGGTACGCAGCGACCGGATGCGTAGCATTGAATTGCGTAGCCATCGTACGCCTAGTGACCCAGTACGGAGTACACGACCTGACCCGAAACCACAGCCTATTCATGCTCAAAGACTACGCGGCCCGGTCACGGCGGACAGCGTGTGTGAAGACGACGCCATCTTGTCTTCGCGTATCCCACGCGACAACGTGTTCGTCGAGGACCTGATTGGCCGTGGAGGCTACGGAGAAGTATACAAGGGCACGTATGAAGGAAGAGCCGTGGCCGTGAAGATGCTCTTCCCGGAGACGCGGAAGAGCACGCGTCACGTGACGGAATTTCTCACTGAAGTGAAGATGATGACGGTCATGGATCACCCACGCGTCGTGGAGTTTATTGGCGTGTCCTGGAACAATTTGATGGACCTGTGTGTAGTCACCGAGTTCATGGCAGGAGGCGACCTGCGCGCGTGGCTGAGCGACCGTGCAGACAACGACAGCCCCGTGGGCTTTGACTTCACTAAGGTGAAGATCGCCACGCACGTCGTGCACGCACTCGCCTACTTGCACTCTCTGTCTCCTTCGGTGATCCACCGAGACTTGAAGTCTAGGAATATTTTACTCAGTGAGAATCAGGACGCCAAACTGGCGGACTTTGGCGCATCTCGCGAACGGGTAGACCGTACGATGACTGCAGGCGTCGGCACGTCGCTGTGGATCGCGCCCGAGGTTATGATGGGCGAGCGATACGACGACAAGGCGGACATGTTCTCGTTCGGCGTGGTACTGTCCGAGTTGGACTCGCAGCAGAACCCGTACGCCCACGCGAAGGATAAGAACCCGACTGGACGTAAAATGCCCGAGACGGCCATCCTTCAGCTGGTGGCTATGGGTAAACTACGCGTAGAGTTTTCTCCCGGCGCGCTGAAGGGCGTGGTGCAGCTTGGTACAGCGTGTACCGCGATCGACCCGACGGAGCGACCGTCAGCAGCCGAGGCGTTCCGAAAGCTCCAGACGATTCTGGCACAAGAGGCCAAGAAAGCAGCCAACGCGAAATGAACCTATAAGAAGAGGAACTCTCAGTGTGAGAATTTTGTATCCACTTCCGCGTTATGAAGGCTTCGACGCAGCATATCGATAACACACGAACACGTTCGTATAGTCTCGGCAGTGGGTGATGCCGACGTCGTTCTTTATTCGGAGCCTGCGCTGCTACTGCCATTTCCTGTCAGGGCTGGCATGTTATATACACCCCTGAATAAACCTGATGTAGATGTACTCATACGAGGAACTTGTCTTTGTTATCTTCTTAATCCGAGGCTGCGAATGAAATTTTCCATTCGATCCATACACAAGATGCACGCAGCTACGCAAAGAATGACGTACGCTACAAGGATCCCGACGATAGCACCCGTGCTGACTCCTCCAGAGCTCTCGACCGGCGTGGTTGACACTGTAGTCTCGGATCCTGCTTCGTCGATTATAGAGCTGTTAGATGGACTAATGCCGTTAGAACCGACATTTATACCTGAGTTTCCCCTGCTACTGGACGCTGTCTGAGAACGAGTACTGACTGAAACGCTAGAACTAGTAGCAGTACTAGAACTGCTTGTGTAAATGACGCTGTAGTTGTTGTAGCACGAGTGACTCGAGACCGTCTCGCTGTCTGGTTCATACCCGAGGAATGGAGATCCAGTACACGAGCTGTCGTTGTAGATGCCTTGGCTTGCCGAGCCATCTTTATTCACCTTGGCGATGAAGTAGTTGTCGCCGTGATCATCATAAACCTGACACTCCCCTGTTGCAAGAAACGCCATAGCCCCCAAGAAGAACGTGCATAACTTGGAATATGTCTCGATCATGACATAACTGGAACCAGCGAACGTGTCGGCCACGTACGTTTGCCGATCTGTAGTCTCGCACGTTGTTTCGGACGAGTAAGTTACGCTGTCAGCGATGAACAGTACGCACTCTACAGCCTCGCAGTCGACGGAACCAATGACTGAAACAACCAACGGAGTTCCTGAGCAATCTTTACCCGTGTAGATGATGGTACTAGCGAAGGATTCGGCGGCGATCGGTGGGGCAAAAGCAGCAATCACAGCAAGCACGGTAACGAGGAGTTCAGTGGGCTGGCTGGTGAACAGCATTGCGATGATGAAAGCGATATACCACGTGGATGTTCAATGAAAAGTTCGACAATAAGATCGAGGAGGGTGGGCCTGCGGGAGCTGCTGAATGAGCAATGGTGGTTCGAACATGCAATCGAAAGTTCTGCGGTTGATGTGACCAGCATAACAGCAACGAAGAGAGTTGTATGGAGGGGTAGACTATCAACGCTTGCGTTGGGCGTTCAATATGCGTCGTTTACTTGTGTCCGGTGTTCAATGGCCTCGGAATGCTGAGAGAGGATTGCTCTAGATGTGGCGAGCCACCCTTACGTAAACTCTACGACCAAGGAGTGGATTCGATGAGTGATTCGCGGACGAATGAGTGTTAATGCTATGGCATCGGATGGCCACGAAGACTACTCTCACGTTGCGTTACCAAACTTATGGTAGCAAGAGCTCAATGCATCGAGCCCATATCTTAGTCTGCTCGGGCTTTGTATTTGAGCAGTTGCGTGTACCCTCGCCAGGTTTCTCAGCATCACGACGGACAGATACTTGCAAGAGATAACGTGTTGCCTGCGCTGTAGAGCTTGTCGCAATCTAACATTCTACGGCTCGTTGAAAACCAATAACCCCGTCACTGAGTCATTACGGTATTGGCATGATGGCTATCTGGTTATCTTTTATTTATACTCCTAGGTACTACGAGTATTAATACGATCACACGTACAACTCCGAGATGTCCAATGCTTGCTTTTGGTTGCTCAACGCGATTTCAGTCTCTCAGCGACCCCTGATTGAGGAGGATTGTTGCAGTAGAACGGATTAAACCTCTGCCCAGCTTCAACGCTATCAGCAATGGTATGCAAATTCATGCGTTGTCGACGGTATCGTTAAAAAAAAAAAAAACTGGAATTACAACAATAGTTTCACATCATCATTCTCGTTCATTCCTTACCGCCCGTGCTCTTATAAGAATAAACAATTACGGCCGCAAAGAGTGCTAAGAATGCCCCGGGATGAAGCTACCATGTTCGGATGCCTCTTTCAAAACGCTGCGACTCGTGTTAGAGTTGAGCACATAATGTTGCTACTGCCGAGTGCTTCCTCGATTGCCTTATCAGTTCGAGTTTTTTTTTTTGCTTTTGCCGCTGAGCGCCTTCTTCATGTTCTTGCTGCTGAGCTCTTTTCCCAGGTTCTTTTCGCTGAGCGCTTTGTCGATGTTTTTGTTGTTTTAAGCGTGCTTATCGTTGAAGGTATTAATAGATGGCTTCGATTTGAAGAGAGCTTTGAATCTCGACGCGATTCCTCTCACTTTACCACCCTCACTCACATCGCTTGTTTCACCTGAGATCTTAGCTGGATCCGTCTTCGTTCGCACATCGTTCTCCCGGAGATGTCGAGCCACACTGTCGCTGGAACGCTCTTGCTGCTGGCAACAATTTTCGATGCAGGGATCGGCTTGGTTGGTAGTAGCACTGTTAAAACAACACACCTCAATGGCAAACAATGCCAAAGCGACTGTTTCGACAATGCATCGGTAATGGTGGTAGCGAAGAATGCGGATCAGCTGACTGTGGATTGATATGTAGAAGTAATTTAGACTAAGGTTAGTTGCACCTGAGTGCTGTACTTAATACAGTATTTCTTGCAACACAAAATGGTGAGAAAAAAAGATGCCGTCAACGCTACATTATCACTTAAAGGATCCCTTTCGATGTCGTGCACACACCACCAATCTAGGTTTTTGTGCCTGCGAATATTTTTCAATTGAGGCGACAAAGATGCCGATTGTTCAAAATAGATTTCGCTCGGCAACATTCCGAACTAATGTTAGAACACGCAGGAATGTTTTTTTTTTTTTTTAATTTTTTAATGTTAGTGAAGCGGCATGAGCAGTTAACGCGAAGCTGTAGAGAATGGGGGTGAAGGTCATGTGTTCTTATGTATTATCTAACTGTGATGAACTTGACTTTCTGTGAAAACAAGGGATTTTTTTTTGACTGAGAAGTTCGATAAACTACTATCTTCTACAGTAGTTTGGGCTATAAACGACTCGCCTTCAAACAACTGGATATAAATCCAGAGAATATTTATTATTGTTCTTTCTTTTTCTTTAACAACTCGCATTTCTTTTTAAATAACTGCGCTACATGGATCTGACAATAAATTACTAGCTTTTAAAAAAAGTCAACAGCTTTAAATCGCGCATTTCATTGGCTTACTGCTTTCGTTAAAAGTCGCAATTTTTCACGAAAAAACCCTTGAATTAGACAGTCCATTCCACACACACGGAAGATGAAAATAAATAAATAAATAAAAATCGTTCCAGTTTTAGAACGGTGATCGTTGAATGCTTGGGTAGCGCTACGGCTCTTATTTTACAGAATGGCGACCAGAAACTCATCCCGTAGTGTTACTCTTAGGCTAAGAGTTACATCAATGGGATGAGTTTCTGGTCGCCATTCTATAATTCATCGTGTTGTGTGCGGATTCGTTGGGCGGCATCATGGTGGAGGTTGTTCGCAGCGCCCTCTTGCTCGTTAACATACTCAACATGATGTATCAGCTTTCTACGTGGAGTATGAACTACGGCTTTGCACTAGGTGTGCAGCTCGATGCGTGTTTCTCGTTTCTCTTGGTCTTTCTATTACTGCTTCGTGGCACTTGTGGGCCTGTCTCGCTGCCATTCGTCGAAATCGCCATCGCGCGCGTGGTTTACATTGCGATCTCACGCGTTCTCGTGCTGCTCGCAGTACTTCGCGTGACGTATTGTCTATACATGCGCACCTTACCACTTGATAGTTGGCCCGATGACAACCTCAATGCTGTTCGGCACGACTATTTCGTTATGGATTCGATCACGTGGATGCTACAAGCGGTGGTGAACTGCTCACTATCACATGACCTACGAGCACCTGCTAAAAGGACATTATTGCCAACAAAATTTCAATAAGTTTCGACTGGATTGTCTATGAAAGAGCTCAAGCATTGGTGAGACTCAGATAAAGACATTGACTTCAGTGGTACTGTACCAGCATTAATCCTAGTTGACACCGGTTCTTGTATGCAAGGCGAAATTGCAAATTTTTTTTTCTTTCAATTTTCTAGTCTTGAATGTTCCTCGAACCAAAAGCTCGGAAAGTAGCCAACCCAACATCTTCGCGCTTCACTTCGAAACTGACACCAGATTCGTGCACTGCGTCGTTAAAAGCGCGACGTCTCCTTCACAGCTATGTCATTTTTTCCTACTCTAGGACCAAATCCACCATGGTTGTCAGTGATACTATCCTTGTGGACAAGAATGGCGATACCTTCAGCTGCGAGGCTCAATCGAGTAATAAGATGTCAATCATCCGCTTGACGAGCACCAACATCTAGGCTGTTTGGTTAGCTTCACTTCAATTTTACAGACGCGTTGCCCTTGTTGATAACGTGTGTTAGCTTATGCGGATCTGTGACGTATTTGTGTACACAATACATGATTCGTCAAACACTTCATACGTCAATTGACAATGTCGAAAAACAGCAAACCGCGTCATTTGTCAAAGAGCCAATTAAAATGCAGGACTGAATTTGTCAATAATTAGTTTGTAGGCAGGATACACCAACAGAGTACGGCTGCAGCTAGCTAGAGTCAATAACTAAATCTCATTCTACAATTTGCCATCGCGTGTGCACTTCATAACAGGATCAAAGGACGAGCAATGTGACGGTGCAGAGCGTGAGAGACTACAGTCTCAAGCACAACAATGCCTTGAGGATGGGAAACCTGCACCGCGTCATCACAGCAGCCTTGATGGTACGGCAGCTTGTTGCTCATGATCGTCAGAAGGATCAGATCCAGCACCGTGGTTGCGCTTCTAGGACGTGATCGATGAAAATCTCATCTGTACGGGCTGCTCGGGAAATCTTTCGTTGAATCAAAAGTATTTTCCTAACGTCTTAAAGCTAAGACTTGATGGGGAGGAGGGCAAGTGGTCGTTCCCGATGGTTTTAGAGGATGCGAATGCCATCCAGAAGCGAGGCTGAAACCACGAAGTAATGAACAACAAATGCATGTGCTAAGCACTAGCATGGGCAATACATAGCATAGTATACGCAAATGGTGTTTCAAGTATGAAGTGTCAAAAGCAATATTTGCTGTGTCGGTTGCGCGCACTACGATAAAACTTCATTTCGTTAACGTCTATCTAAATGGGTTGTTGGTATGTTTTGAGATAACTACAGCGTCACCTCTTCCACCTCGAAAGACTTGAGTGCAATCTGCAATCTGTGCATTGCTTCTGCAGCAGTAGGTCGGTCGTCAGGTTCCACGGAGATACAGGCGTGAGCCAGCGTCAACAGCTCCACGGGGCAATCGCGTGAGAACTCGACCTGCAGGTTCCCGACGGCCACCATCTGTAGGATCGCAGCCTCCGTCGGCTTGCGTCCACTAGGATTCCTCACATTAGCGTAAGGCATAAAGTGCGTGTCAAGCTCACTCAACAACACGCCGAATGAATACACATCGGCCTTGCCGTCGTAATGTCCACCCATCATAACCTCGGGCGCCATCCAGAGCGACGTTCCGACTGCGTTCGTCATGAGGTCGTCTGTGCGTTCCCGGGAGACGCCAAAGTCCGTAAGCTTAGCGTTCAACTGTGACGTAAGCAACACGTTGCGAGACTTGAGGTCACGGTGGAGAATGTTCGGTTCCATCGAATGGAGGTACGTCAGACCGTGTGCGATATCCATCGCGATCTTGACCTTATCGTGGTCAAAGCCTCGCGGACGCGTGTGGTTGTCCAAGAAATGGTTCAGTAGAGCACGAAGGTCCCCACCAACCAAGTATTCCGTCACACAGCTAATGGAACTGAGCGATTCCCACGCAATTCCGATGAAGTTGACAATGCACGGGTGTTCAAGCTTGGCCATGACCTTGGTCTCCGCAAACAGAGCGGTGATCTCGGTCATATCCTGCGCCGTCTCTGGCAGCAGCGTCTTTACAGCCACAGTCTGGCCGTTGTACGACGCCAAGAACACTTGGCCGAAGCCACCGCGGGCGATGAGCTCCTGAATTCGAATTTTCTCCAGAGGAATGCGAGCGGCGACGATCACGGGGTCGTCCCAAATGCCACCTTTACGCATGTGCCGTCTTGTGAACGGATCGTCCTGAGAGAGTGTGAAGATACCCGACGCGCTCGACATGTCCGGCTCCTCGCGGTGGTTGCGACGGCTGTTGAGCTTACCGAACGCGCCCGGAGGAGCGAGCTTGGACTTGGCAAGTGGTACGGCTTGCGAGTCTCCGAAATTTGACGGCATTTTGCTAAGCGAGAGCCGCTGGTTGGCCGCTCGTCTCTTCATCGTCACAAACCCTGCAATGACGAACATGGCACACGCAATGCCAACCACCAAGCCGGCGATGGTCCCTCCTGACATGGAGGAAGAGCTGTCAGGCGTTGCAATTTTCGTGACCGATTCGTACGCTGAGGCATTGCGAGTAGCTGTCGGCGTTGGTGTCAAATCCGGAGTAGGAGTCCACGGGGTCGGAAGAGGAGGCGTGGTCGTTGGGAAGTTGAACTGGTCGGGATTGCCCGATTGATCAGCTCCGTTCGAGTTATATCCGCTGTCTGATTCCGCTTTAGTACCCGATTTCGTCAATGAATTATCAGGTAAGACGGCTCGATTCGGTACTTCATCATGAGGAGGAATCTTCGGCGTCTCATGCGCCTCAGTTTCCTGCTCGTCGCTGCCGAAGAATCCGTCCTTCACCGGGCTCACTACATCGTCCTGTTTTTTTTTTATCGTCAGACAATTTATTCATGAATATACTTGGAAGTTAAAACTAACATGAAGGACGCACCGTGTCATTTTTCAACGAATCGAGCGAGTATTCCTTCATTGTTGTGGTTCGGAGGAAGAAGCGAGACTGGAAGCCTCAAAGACCTAGAGGCGTGAGTGCCCCACCGAACCGACCAACTCGATGCACGGACAGCGAGCGAGAAGCCACCTTTCCTGTTGTCTTATGCAAGTAGCCCTCACTTTTGCACGCTGCAGTTCACTTTAGTCTATCCAAGAAACAATATGGCATGTGCAGAACACCTGCATTTTCCAACCTCGACATGCAAAAGCGACAAAAAAGCACATCGAGGCAGATTTTAGAACGAAAAAAGCGGACACTTGGCCGGGCTTTGACAAAAAATCGTCAACTCGAGCAACTTCATGGAAACGAAGCTTGTTCCCCCATCTGTAGCCGAAAAAAAATAGTCTGCGATCGTATTGTGGCCACCGGAACGTATACATATATCCGGATATAGTACATGAGCTGTGAACGGAAAAATAGAGCTCAATACAGAAGTACAAATTGATCTTACCAAAATTTAGACACACGCTTCGAAAAAAGTGTACACACATCTTCAAACAAGTTTTCCCCTTGCTAATTTTTCGCGCCATCCCCGCAACTTTTACATGTAGACCGCAAGTTGCTCTTCCATCTCTCTGCAACCACTCAACCCCCATCACAAGAGCTTCGAGAACGCCCCATGCACCAAGCGTACACTTGAGGCGAGACGCAAAGCCGGATGCGCTGACTTGGTTGCCTCTGCGTCGTGACGAAATTGCACCGGATCTACAGAGCAAATTCCTCTCCTCCACGTACGCCTCGCGATGAGAGCGTAAGTGTTTCCCGGGCAATGGACTGCAATCGCTCGAACGCCTCAGCCGCTGTCGGGCGGTCCGAAGGCGTCAGCGACGTACACGCCATCACCAAGTCGTAGATTCCAGTAGCAGTCGTCTGGGAGATTTCCAGACGTAGTTGACCAGCCGCCACCATCTGTAGAATGGCTGTACCTGGCAACTTTCGTCCAGTACCGGGCTCCGTTGCGTGCGAGTACGGCAACTGCTGACAGTCTAGTTCTCCCAGCACAACTCCGAACGAGAACATGTCTGCCTTTTCGTTATATCTGTCGCCGATCATGACCTCGGGCGCCATCCACAGCGACGTGCCGACACCAGCAGTCATCGTGATGTCTGCGCTCTCTCGAGACACGCCGAAGTCCGTCAGTTTGGCGTCTAAATTCTTGTTTAACAGAATATTCTTGGACTTAAGGTCACGATGCAACACCGTCAGATCCATTCCATGCAGATACGTGAGCCCTTCAGCAATGTGGAGAGCGATTTTCAGCTTGTCGTCGTCGAATCCGTGAGCTCGGTGCTCCTCCTGTTCGAACCGCTCCAGTACCGTTCGAAGATCACCTCCTTCCATATATTCTGTGACGGCTGAGATGTCTGTCCAACTCTCCCATGCTACACCAAGACAGCCAACTATCCGCGGATGATCCATGGACAGCATTATCTTGATCTCCACTATAAAAGCCTCGACTTCTCTCAGGTTTTTACTCCTGTCCGGCAGCAAGCGTTTGACAGCCACTGCACGACCTCTGTATGTACCGAGGAACACCTCGCCGAATCCTCCTCGGTTAATGAGCTGCTGTACACGCAGCTTCCCCATTGGAATCCGCGCTTCTAGGATCTCTGGATCGTTCCATGAACCAGACATCCTTTCGCTCTCCATCTCACTGCGTCGTCCGAGGATCTCGATACTGGTGATTTCATCATAGTACTCGTCCCCTGAAATCGGAACGGCAACGGGGACAGCGTGACTGTACACGCGGTCTCCGTATTCCTTTCTGCTACTGGATGTGCCTGTGTTATTTGTTGTATCGTAGCGAGGACTCCTCGAATACGACCGTTTGGTCCTTTTGTACCAAATGATGAAGGCTGCAATCATAAGCACCACAGCGACAGAACCGACGACGATACCCACGATCACAGGGACTGGTAACAACAGCGTGAGTCTCAAATGATACGGGCATCACACTAATATAAATAACGTACTTCGGAGACCCCCACCACCCTGACTACCATTGCCATTCGACTGGCCCCCGTTGTCGTTATTAGCTGTCGAGTCTCCGTTCGCATTTTGATTGTTGTATGAAGCTGCGGACGTCGCCTCGGGCGAATTGGAGGCCTGAGTGTTGCCGTCTGTAGTGGTCTGGGCGTTCCCATCCGTTGTCGTGGCAGTCGTTGTCTGTGCGTTGGTAGTTGACGTGGTTCCCTGATTATTCGTCGCCATGTTGGCATTGCTCTAGTCGCCACAGAAATACAAAATCAGTTTAGGTATACCGTCTGCCATGGAATCCTTTCTCACCTCTCCGTTCGTCGACATGGCCACCACCGGTCGAAGGCGACCGAATTAACGCGAAACCTGGCCAGCCTCCCACAACTACTCGCGATGCAATGGAAGCTTAGGAATGGACTTCGATGCAGGGAATTGAGAAGCGAGTGGTGCGTCTGGCGTGACCGGTGCGTCCATGTACAGATAAGTTACCAGATCAGCTGGATTCTGCAACGAATTGGTGAAATTCATGCTGACACACTTGATGTTTGTATGTGGAAATCGAAATATTACGATAAGGATGAGCAGCAAACAGATCATTATGATTTGCGAAGTGCTGAGTCATGCCTGTAGACGAGATCCTTCACAACAAGAATGTATGCTCTGATGGAATGCCTTCTTTCACGCGAGTGATTCATGTACACGAAAGGTAACCGACGAAGGCTTATGCTCAATTTATATTTTCTCGTAGCGTGCTATTCATTGTTATAATCAACACGTTTCGTGAGTCCCATGACAGCCAGTTCCGGACGCGTTGGTTTTATGGCGTTGGGCCATGCCCAACAGATCATTCTCCTTCTTGTCGCGAGTTCAGCTTGGCTATGGGCTAAATTGCGTATGGTCATAGGTAAGTTAGGAGAGAGGATAAGAAACCTAAAGACTTTGGTTTCTTTAAGTTAAAACGAAGCGCCAGCTAGGCTTCTCAAGTATCGTTTCACTGTCGACCTGATGTACTCCGACGTATTCTTTTAAAATTAAAATAAAAATGCTGTGTATCAGATAAGTACATATACCTAACTAAAAAAGCATACTGTAGTTTCTTCTTCTAACATTTTTCCTTTTGTGTTGACTTCCCTGCATGTACCTGTAGTAAAACCGTACTGCGTTTCTGTCGCCTTCCTGTCGCGAACACACTCACATGACCGACTTTCGCCAAAAACCAAAGGATCGCTTCTGCTGGTGATATTAAAACACCATCATCTCGGCACGGTCGACCTGCTGATGTTGCAAACTTTGTAAAAGTGGCCAAACCAAGCGTGGAGCATGTAAAGGGCATGCACACGGAGCCTCCGATTACGGGATGGCTTGACAATCTGTATCTTACAGTTCGCCAAAACCATCCTGCCGCCTCACCACCATGCGGCTTTCTAGGTACCACACCAAAGCATGCAGACGAATTGATGCGTGCACGGACACCCGCTATCAGAGACACATTAATATAGCAGAATTTGATTGCTTCTGTATTCGGTACTGGACAACATGTACGGTGAAAACACGGACATCTACACATTGATTGATGGTGGACTCATGCCTAGTGGCGGCGGGCACACTTCGAAGTGGTGGAAGTGGTAGGAGCCTCCGTGGCTGGGGTAGTCTCCTCCGCAGCAGGAGTAGTCTCAGGAGTATTCTCCTCGGTTGTAGGGGTAGTCTCCTCTGTCGTGCTCGTTGAAGGCGCCGTAGTGGCCGTCTGCGTTTCGTCACCAGAAGTAGATGCTTCATTGCCAACCTCCTCCGAGCTCGTCGTAGGAGCTGTCGTGGTGGTGCTCGTTGATGGCGACGTGGAATTGGTCGACGGAGACGCGTTTGAGGCCGAACTAGGCGTGGTAGCCTGCGTCGAACTCGAGCCGGAGCCGGCAGCGACCGTCGACGCACCAGCTCCAACTGTTGAAGGAGGTTCACCCTTACCAGATCCGCCCTCCAGCCACACACAGTCCGAGTACACCTGCCACTGTTCACCATGGACAGCGAGCCAGTAGATCGTCAAACGGTTGGCATTGGCGCACTTGGATTCATCGTAGGGAATCTTTGAGGGGCTACCCGGGAATTTGGTCTGGCAGTCGTAGTCGAACAGCACCTTAGTGTCGTCGCACCAGACCTCGCACGGACCTGGGTGCGTGAAGCCCGTGTACTCGAGCTGCGACGCCGGCAGCTTCGAGCGAGCGGATTCTTTAAAAGTCGTTAGACCGCAATCCGGGTCAACGTCACTGCTGTAGAGCTTCTGGTTCTTTGCGATAAGCGCACCAAGCGAACCACCTCCCTTCGTGGGGAGGTTGGCTTTAAGGATGTTGATGGCCCCGGTGGGTCCGTAGCCGTATTTCCCTCCGTCAATCTCGCCGAACACCTTGCTGTCAATGGTGCTGCCATATCCGTTAGACGGGTAGCCTTGGGTCCACTGTGCTGCAGGGTCCACGATATACCCGTGGCCGTGTACATTGGGGATGGACGTTAAGACAACGGCTCCTGTGGCGACGATAGCGATGGTCTTCATTGTTTTCCGGTTTGCCTGATAGTTGCTACGGCGGACTGCAAATTCGAGAATGACGGAAGAGTTGTACGCAATATTCCCGCACTACGAACAGCAATGCAGCAATGTTAATCGATTGCGTGCCTCCGAGCGGATTAACTCTTGGGGATATCATCCATACAGCTGGGCGGTCTGCAACGTAAAGGACCGAGAATTTCTCGGGGGATGAAGAATAGCAAAGCCGTCAAGATCCGCTCGGATCAGTTGTGATAATGCTTGATTCCGAGCGTTTATCGCGAGATTGTACCTGCATTGTCCTCAGTGGTTATTCGGATTCGCTAACCTGTACTCTTTACTTGAGTTTAGTGTCACATCGGGTTAGCATGGTTTTTGTTTTTGCCAGCCGGTACGACGCAACAGAGCAGCCCAGCTGCCTCGCTCTACCCGCTGAAAATGCATAGGGTGCTGCGACTCACATGGCGCTGTGACTCGCTGCATCCTCTGTATCCTACTTTCAACGGGTAAAGCGAGCGAGTCCCCAGCGTATTGATGATGTCTTCTGAACGACGCTTCCATACTGTGCAGTACTGCCACGATTTCTACGTAATTTGCGTGCGTCCCTCGAAACAAACTTGAACCGATGTGGTCGCTGCAAGGAATCCGTTTCCCAATTAGTGCAATGACTTTACCTAACTGATCCTTCGCGATGAGGTCTATCTCCAAGTATGACAGATTCTCTCGGTAACTATCCATGTAGGCTGAGTTGTGGTACGACAGCGTGGAAGGCGCTCGTCAATACAGTAGAAATGTTAAACATTTACTATTATTATGAAGTATTTTGCGGAGGCCTTCGAGAACGAAGTAACTAAATCCTAATCCTTCAAGTAGGCTTGTAAGTTACCCTAATCGCATAGATCATGAAGTACTCTACTTCAAACTTATTTTTGGAAAAATGTCGATTTGACTTTGGGTAGGGATTGAAACAGGTGTGCTAAAAGAATGCCTTTCAGAATCCATTTTGTTCTTACATAAACTATCGCTTCGAAGTTTAAGATATAGTAGCCCTAATAATACTTGATATTTTCAAAGAAGTTTGTATGGGAGTACGCCTACCCTGTACAATCATTTTTGAACGTCTCTTTATAATGCTTCACTTCGAGGAAGTCAATCATACATATACGGACTTTGTATAGATTGTTGTCATATTTGTTGTGGACTAAGGTTTGGACTCTGTTTGGCGTAATTTAGCCAGCCATAGTGCAGCAGTAGCTGTCAAAAAATTGTTTTGCGGAAACTTCTGAAAACGACAAAAATTCCGCGTTGCAAAGTATAGAGTGGTTCATGCAACACAATACAAGTACACGTTCAAATACAATATTGATTCAGTCAGATCGTAAAGTACATGGTCATATTCAAATGAAAGGTAAGTGTCTACCTGTTCACTTCCCAAATAAACCTTGGGTACTATGGGTGCATAATCGAGAGAGAGAGACGTTAACAGCTTGGTAAAAGGCCAACAAACAGCAATAGGGGAGGGGGGAGGGGGGAGGGGGGGGAGGGGTAAGAATCCAATGATAAAATGTATGACCAAAGCTACAATCCGTTGCTCCAAAACTGCCTTATTTTTTGGTAAAGAGAGAATTTGGTATAATCGGTGTCCAACCGGCCAGATATTTTGCATGGTGATTCCTCTAACAAATTCAATTCGATGCTACAGGAACAGAATTGAACATTTCGAGTACCACGCATGAATACGTCAAAAGCCTTCACCATTATGTGTATCGTTCTGTTAGCTGTACGCTATTATTGGGCGCCTGCCAAAACTTTCTTATGCTCGCATTATGTCAGACCTTCCATAGTTGATAGCTTATTTAGACGTGACTCCTGTCTCCATAAATTGCCTGATATGAACCAGGGTCAGTACAAAAACTGTCTTTGGTTTTGTATTTGTCAATCGTGTTTAATCTGAATATGCCATCTGGACGGATACCACTGTCATATTGCCTACCTCCATCATATACTACCTGTTCAAACTTAATATTTTGATGTGGCTTTTGGCCGGCGATATGTTGTCTACATAGGCAAGTTTTGGTGGGCGCTCATTTGGAAAAGATATACGATGGATTTGGAAAGATATATGATGGACTATTTTGGGGTGCACAACACAAAATTCTATACTAACTGACTGTCCCAGGATTTGTGTCCAGGAATTATGGCAGAAAGGATACCACAGGTCATTTTATCGAATTGAAATCGTCTCCTATTACGCGAATACACAGCAGATGCTGCGGCTGCGAAGCCGGTGCAGTAAATACGTTATTAATCTTTTAGCTATCAGTTACCGGAGGATGTGTTTTTGTTTGTGTAACTCATGGATTTATCGGCCTCTTCTGCAGACCTCGAAAAAAAGGATTGCGGAATTGAAATAATTGTACTTTTATATTATAATATTAATTACCGAGTATTTATAAAAACAATTAAAATGGTATATTGCACCAAAAATTACAATACAATCCGATTCTAGCATTCGGTTCAAAGAGGTTCATATTTTGCCGGTTCGGATAAACCACAGTAGCTGTTTGACATCCTCATAATCTTTGCCTATGATGAGCGGCTGCAGCGAGGTCGACAAGCTTCATATTAAGGGAAGAGCAGTGCTTCACTCTCCAATTTTCAACAATGGTAGCAAACAAAGACCTCTGCGCGTTGTTTTTTTGAAGCTCAAGACAACCCGCTTCATCAAGCTTGCGGCGCTGATCACAAACAGCTGCCATGCACGGGCTACTCCAACCTCGTCTCGCATCTGGCAAGCCGCCACGAGGAGTTTGGTGTGCAGTACGACGCCCGTCACCGCGGTGCCGAGCGCCTGCTACAAGCCTTTGGCTTCGTGTCCGAGGAAACATCTCACCGTTACCAGTGGTTGCGGTGGGTTGTTGAGCGGAACATGCCCCTATTCGAGGTCGACGACGAGCAAACGGGAGCCATGTCCAAGTGGCGCCCAACCAACCCGAAGGCTCTCAAGGCGGACATGATTACTGTGCCAAGTAAGGTGGGTGCCATAATCGCCAAAGAGATGGGCAATCTGTTCGGCATCATGTTTAACGGCTGGTCGCGCGGTACGATGCATTTCGCTGGCGTTTCGGTCTCTACGTCGTTGGCGGACACCTTCAACGCACACTGCTCGCGCTGTCGCCATTGGGCGATGGCAGTCAAGACGCCGATGCGCATATCGCCATGATGTTTAACTTATTGGCCGTGTACAATAAGGCGACGGATATGATACTTTTCATCGTAGCAGATAACTGCAACACCAACCGTAGCATTGCTACCAAGCTCGGCGTCCCACTGATCGGTTGCGCCTCGCATCGATTTAACCTCACAGTTAAGAAGTTCTTAACGGAGCACGAACGGCTGTTACAACAGGTTAACGACCTAATGTTGCAGTTACAATATCCCAACAACGCCACTGAACTTTCCAAGCTCATTCCGCTTCGGGCCGATAAACGCAACGTCACGCGCTGGTCGTCCATGTAGGGCATGATGCAGCGTAACGTGGAGATCCACTCGCACACCCATCTTGTCGAGTATGTAGATGACGTGCTGCCTTCCAACACCGATCACAAGAAACTGAATTGATGTACTGAGCTGGAAAGCGTATGCAAGCGATTACAATGCAAGGCGACGAGTATGGGTGAGGTACGCCTACTTTCTGACTCAGTTTTCGCAGGGTACCCAATTATGGGTGAGTACCTAAAATACAATTCTAAAATTGTGCACTCTACTGCGTTTGAGACCGAGGTCGTCAAGGTGTGCTGCGGAGGCTGACGCCGGGCGAAGTGGCGGCGTTGAAGCGGCTCGTGCGTCCACGAGGAGCGGGTACTCTTGCGGCCACAAGGAAGCGCAAGAAGCGCGTGGACGACTATGTGTCGCAGATCATCCGCTAAGGTGGAAACAAGAAGTCCAGGAGCGGTGCACCCAGCTACACGACGTTGGCCGTGCTTGTGGCACCGACCTCCAACATATGCGAGCGTCTCGTTTTGGAGCGCAAGATAGTTATGACGCCGCAACGCAGCAATTTCCTTCCTGCGCATTTCGAGACACTAATGGTTCTGCGCGCCAACAAGAACTTGTGGGACGTTACCAGCGTGACCTTGGTACGTTGACGTAGCTGACACTAACTGCTTTAATACATTGCCAGTAATTGCGCCGTAATTTTTATTGCAGCTCTATGTATTGCCGCCATTACTACGGCTGACAATTCTGTAAATTTCTGTATTTTCCGAGGTGCTCCTCTGCGATAGTACATTCGTGTTGCTTCCATGTCGTCGATGTCTTTAATACCGATACGTCTTGCATGTTCACTATGTTTGCGAACCACCATGCCTGGGCACGTGTAGGGTTGTAGTAACAATTGGAACGTTGTAGTATTCTCTTGCGCATCCGTCTTATCGGATTGCAGTGTTGTCGTGAGCGTGTATTCGCGTTACCAGCTAGTTACGGATAAACAGTAAGGTCAGATCCCAGCCCTAGTATTTAATACCCCCCACCCCCTTTTCGCCCGTCTTGATATGTCCTCAGATTACACTGTAGCACCCAATCACATGGCGATGATAAATAGCCTTCTATTTGATTTTTGATGTGATTTTTGTTAAAGAGGCCTGGTAACATAGAATTCTTGACCTAATATCGTTCTGAGGTGTCGTGGTCAAGTGGATTTGATCTTGTGTCACGTGCATCATTGCAGGTATGTAGAACGCGGTTCTTGCTCTGACTTACCATTGTCAAGGAAATTGAAATTTCTTGTGGATGGAACCCGAGCAAGCAGGCGTACTGCTTCTAGATCCCTTTTGTGGGTGCTCCCCACTGCACAGCGAAAAACTGCCTTAGGGATTTCGCCACCATTGCTTTGTGTTTCTGAAGTATATGCTCCAGCTTCGATGTCTCCAAGGCTCTGATGAAGTATTTTGTCAACACTGGCGATCCGTAGATATGTATACACCGTATCCAAATGTGCTCCGATCTCTTCTTAGCGAGGAGTGTGAGTTTGGTTTTATTTGAATACCACGTCCTCCTATGGACAGCATCACTCTGATTTCCAAAACTTCCAATTTACATATCCTGCGGACTGGCACCATGGTATAGTCTTTTTGACACAAGGGTATTCCTTGTTTGTCCAATATGCCCGCATTGTCATTACAAGGTGCATACAATAAGAAGTCTGCGTTTGCTGGTAGCTGCACAGTTCGTTCAATCTCGGTAGATCTAAAGCACACTGTGTATGTCTCTATCCAACGAATAGACGTATTAACAGGCCATGCGGCTAGGACCTGAAGGAGTCGGTTATACTGCTCCTTACCGCGATGGAGCTGCGCCGAGTGTGCCTGCCACATGGAGTTCCATCTTACCAAGTATCTGGGCTGAAATAGGGGGTCTTCCATTTCGCTCTCGAGTAGCTCTTCGGATCATATCAAACGAATTCGGACGAAAAACACTACATAACTGGGAAGTATTTTCTTCAGGATGGGCTAGATAGTGCCACGCCTCTTTAATAGACCCGCTCCTCCAGCTTGTCTGGGTAAAACAGAACCGCTGAAGAGATATTGTTCTTGCCTGACGTTGTCCTAGCAGAGGAGTACCAAATAATAAATTACTTCTGCATGTTCTGTAGCTGTTCGAAATTTTCTTTAGGCCGAATAAATTGTTTCCCGGTGTATAGAATCACAGGTAGCGCCACGACATTAAACAACATAACGCGTTCTGCTACCAAACTGGTCACAGTAGACGCAATATGTAGTCTGCGCTGTATTTTGTTTTTAGCAAGCTTTGAGCCCAGCAATTTGAACTAGTTTTTTTTCAGGTGTGGCATCCAGGTATTTCCCAGGTTTGAATTTTATTTTTCTTCCCGGAATTGATTTTATATTGTTTTCGCGCCCAGCCACTCAATTGCAGAACAGATACGCGGTGGCTCGAAGAGAGGCCATAGTGTGTACACACAAAACGGCCCGAATACAAGCGGCAATCGCCGCCCAATTCTCGAGGAAGAAGATGCGCTTATCGCAGAGGTGTATGCAGGGAACGCATTGAGGAGGCCCGGACCCGAGCAGAGAAGTCTCCCGCGATATGGAGATCGTGCGCGGGGTGGAGGACGAGCTTTCCGGTATCGAATTTGGACCCCACTAAACCATGACGGACGACTCGACAACGGATATCCAGCAGTGCGTCGGGGGAGGAAAAAAACGAGGTTGGGCACAGAACACTCGTGGTAGGAAGAAGAGGCCTACGTTTGACGGCGGGGACAAAGATGATGAAGAAGTCGACGAAGTTACGATCCCCTCGTTTCAGAGTTATCATAGGACCTGAGCGCTATTTGAGGAGAACTTGCAGGAGAATATGAGTACTAGGAAGTAAGTGCTTGTGATGAGTGAAACAGTTAGCGCCAAGAGACGCAACCAGGACTTGCGTAAGCAGATGTGGCACCAAGGACTCCCCGACACTCAGATCTCATTAGTCCCGGACGAAATGAAACCATTTCAGCGGAAATACATTTGTACGCATGGCTGGGCCTAGCGAGAAAGATACAAGGGCAAGCGGAAGGTGTACAAGCTGCGCCAAACTGTCCGTCCGTTTCATTTTCTGGCGCAAGTGGTGCAGCCCAAGGGGAAATGGGGCATCACACTGAAGCGCGAGGTGTATCGGCACAATTATCCCGTCAGTAACAATATTTATATATTCACCAGGTATTGTCCAGGTCTCCGCTTATACCTAGCATTGAGCTGGTGGACTCAGAGGCTGGAAATTCGGGTATTGACGACTACAGCAGGCAGAATTCTGATAAAACTGTGACGATGGATGATGTTCGTAAGTTGGTGGCGCGCGTTCGTCAGTCTGGTATAGTATACATTGTGCGATCATGGATATGTAGATTTAACTGAATGTGAGTGTTATTTTTGCAGGAAGGACAATATCGGATGATGACGCAGTGGAGGAGGCAGCGGTCAATTTCTATTTGAAGGACCCGAAGGACGTGTCTACTGTGGTGCGCATTGCTCGAGGGGAAAGTGGTGAACATCGGTGACAACGGCTCACATGCTTGCGATGTTCGACAATGTCCCTGAGGTGTTGCAGATGGACAGCACCAACAAGACCAACAAGTGAGTTATATACCTTGTGGCGTCAAAATGCCATGTATTGGCCATGTGTGAGCCCGATACTGACCAGGTTTTTATTGCAGATACAACTGTAGGTGGTTATCACTTGTGGCAATGGATCAATTTGGTCACGGACAGCCAGTGCAATATTCAATGCTTACGACGACTTCTGAGTGGCATATGGCTAATTACCCTGATCACTCCAAGAGAGCGAACAATCATTCTCTGTTAGTTCTGATCCTTATCGTGGATAAAAGACTTGCGTGAGGTGGATGTGATAAGACGCAAAATCCCTGAGGGGCGAGTGCTTTTGTGTTACTTTCACGCGATTAATTGGCTACATGAATTGTGCGCTGTGAAAAGTATAGGTTGTACGCACCTAACGTTGCAGCTCAGTTTAAAAATCTGATCACAAACATGACTTATGCGAGGTCTGGAGAGGATTAAAATTTCAACCGGGAAGAGTTTAAGACCGTGTCGTGTCGTGACGGGGGTCGCTCATTATGGGGCTATTTCGTAGAGAACTGGGAATCATGCGCCGACATGTGGATAATGTTGTAGCGTGTTGATCTGTCACACTTCAACAATCATTCGAACAATCGAGTCGAGAGCTTGTTTAAAAAATCAAACAGGACCTCAAGTCCCACGTTACGATGTACAGCTCTCGCTATGTACTTTTGTCGATGCAAAGTTGCGAGGAGGGGTATCGTGCTCACGTTGAGATGCCTGGTACATTACTAGAGCTATTCAGAGGAGATGAATACAGTGTTGGGAATGACTATCGCTGAGTCACTTCGGCAATAAAGGGTTAACACGAAGAGGTAGTGACTAACGAAAACCAAGATCGATACGCTTTTGAGGACCGTGACACATCGATGAGAGCTCGAAGCATTTGGAGGGAGTATCTTGTACAAAATGATGGAGTTGCAATTGCGAATTTGCTCAAACCATGAAGCTCCAATTCCGATACACGAGCCTTCAAGATGTCCATTGGTAGTACGTTGCCATTCCATTCTCCGCGATTACGCCAAGTGAGTCTTGGTTTTACCCTTTTTTTCAGGTCTTGCCCACGTTATTAGAGCTCGACCCATGCATTGACCATGTATCTGACAGATCTCTCCTTATTTTGTTTGAGTAAACCGGTTATTTGGCCAGAGTCGAATTCTCAAGACGTCGCAGAACTCGCATCCCCATTCGTAGCGATGGTCTTCATGACAGAGACCAAAGACTGTGAACGTCCTCTCAGTGAAAAAGAAAATTACAGGCGGGCTCAACAAGCATTTGGTAAGATCAGCGGAGAACTGTCATTGTTTCCAGATGAAGGTTTTGAAAGCGCAATAAGTCAGTTAACACCTGGCGGCATAACATGCGCCACGGCAATGCGAAAGTGGTTACTACGAACAAAAACAAGAACGACGAAAAGAAGCATGATAACGACGACGAGCCATGTGCAGATGGTGGTACTGTTGGTTGCAGTGTATCTCAAAATAGGAACAGCGATAACGGAGGACGTTCTGGATCTAAGTCACTTGACATTGATGACAACTCGGTCGTTCCCTCTGCTCAAGTTGCCCCCGCCCAATCGTTAAATATATAAATCCGACTGAATGGGTTACCCCTAAGATCGGAAGATCTTGTACAAACCGCGCCGAGCAAAAACAGAAGGCCAAAGCATTAAAGGAGTAAAACCAAGGCATGCTCCTACGTGTACTTCTACGAGATAAGGATATGCGCGATTTTGTGGTGTGCATGGAGGAAATACGTCCTGCATTACACCAGGTGACTTCATTCACGAAAAACCATCACGTTCATGAATTCAAAGGGCGCCTAATTATACGTGGAAAGCGGAAGAAATTTGTGCCAGAAAACGTTCGCTTTCGTTTGCCTGAAATGTTATTCGGATGATACTTGACGGCTTGAAGACACAGAAATTTACCCTGAATGACGGACAAATCATATATGAAATTATATATATCCAGATGGTACTTCTCAAAACTCCAGTTCAATCGTGGTGGTGATCCCAACACCTGGAGAAGTTACTCGAGAGCAATTGGAGGTAATGAGATGGCTATAGAATTTACACACAATGTATGAGAATGGGAAACAGTGCGCCTCATGGGTACTTACTACAGTGAAGGAAGTTGTGGACGCGACAGCGAAGCTGGGAGTATGGCAATGGAATTATTTGAGAACTGACCCTACAGCAAATTAACTGGAGTTGGGTTTGACTATACTTAAGCAGAACTGTCCAGCTTTAGAAGCAGTTGATTAAGCGACCGTGCTTATAGTCAACTTGTAGATATGGAGAATGGCAACAACACCACTGTTTTCTTGCCAGCGCTGTAGCCGACACGGGGACCAACGTCACCAACGTTATATCGACGCCATGTTGCCTAAAACGCCGCGAGTGTGTGGATGATGATCTGACGAGGTACGCCTTCCTTCCCGTCAACTTTGATACAAACCACTAGGCTTGCCAAGTCGTTAACAAGGTGAAAAGGCAGCTTGTGCTGTACGACACCATGAACAAGAGAAAGATTGGTAAGGCACTCAAGTTGAACACCCGTGAGATTGGCGGACATCTGCTGGGGAGTGCGTCAAGTAGCTCACATTGACGAAATCGAGTCAGAAGGACAGTCTCAGCTGCGGCGTATTCGGGTGTCTCCATTCTGAAGCCAAGTGTCAAGCGCCGCTCCACAGGATGTGTCTCCAAAGGGTCTTGTCCGGTTGCTTCAGTCGAGTCAGAAGGCGTAGTGGTATAGCGGTGCATCATGCTTCACAGGCTTGTTGAAGATTCAGCTAAGCAGCAATAAACCCTAGTGCATACCTGGATAATATATGGTTTCAACCGGGAATACCTGGAAGACGTCTAGGCATCCTGATTGGTCAGTTCAGTTTCAGGAAGCTCCGACAAGAAGGCAACCACACCATTCGAACTCATGCCCAAGTTGTGCGTATGCAGGTTTTCCAGGCTTCCCAACCTGGACAATACCTGTTTTGCGAAAATAACAATATATTTCTCTGTTGTCGAGACCTTTCTACGGTCATTTTGGAAAACTGGATTAATCCTGTATGAAAACTTAGCCAATATCGGTGATTCTAATAATTTTATTAGTATAACACCCTGGGCTGTAAGGCCGTCCTATTTTATTCATACGTAAATGCCAATTTTCAATATTCGTATCCCCAAAGCCACCCAATATCCAAGCTGACGCGTGGGCATTCCGTGCTTTAAAACAAGGTGTCCTTGCCATCGTGTTGGTAAATTTGCCTTAATCATGATAATGAGTAAACTCTTATCGGGCTGAACATGAAGACCGGAGAGCTCTCCACAATCGTTTGACAGTCGTTGTACGATTGATAGCTCTCTCTCAAGGAGCTGATAAGTACCGTGCTATCATCAAAAAAAGCGAGAATTTGTGGATGAGGCCATTGTTACCAGGCACAGCGATTCCGCATAATTTAGGATGTATATTGACCGTTTGACTCAGTTTATCCACCGCTAACAAAAACAGCAACGGATCCAGCGGGCATCCCTGTCTGATGCTTGAGACTACTGTCCATTGGTAGAGGCTGTAGTTCCATGATGTAAGCGATGAATATCGATACATTATTTCCTGAAAATCCATAACTTCGTAGAACCATGACCGAAAATTTCCGATCTTGAGTATCATATGCTTTGCGCAAGTCCAAGCAGAGAACCACCGCCATGTCGGACCACGCTTTGGTTGGATTAATTTCACATTAAGCTAGAATTGCACGCAACATTGTAATGGTTTTGTAGATTGATCGCTCTCTGACAAAACCTTGTTGAGTTGCACTGATTAATTTTGGCAAATACACCCCGATCACATGACATGTAAAGAGGTTAACATTATTAAGTAAACGCGTGCCCTAATTATTAAATTATTGCTTCCGGACCAAGACTATCACATAGTTTACGTGTGAAAAAATTGACACACCTGTGGCATCTCGTCGCTTGGTGACCCCATCGACTACTTGCTGTGCTGACACCGAAACGAGTCGCTGACAGTGTAGTATGTCCCAGCATGCCACCACAGCTGCGATCTCCATCTCAATAAACTAGGGCTCCGCGAAGACTGAGAAAGGAAATATCAAATGCGCTACGGAATCAACGCTGTCATGATGGCGTATCGTTAAACTTCGACTACAAAATGAAGTAACTTGGCTTAGCGTCGGCTTCGGCTTAGCTTCGGTATGTTAGATGTACATACCGACTTACCAATGAGTGGGGCAAGGTTTCGCCCGATAAAAAATAAAAAATCTAAGCACCTGAGTCCCAGCCGATGGGACTTGTTATTACTATGCATTTCCTGCGCCTGCTTCGTAGCAGCCGTATCTGCTTTGTCGAAACTGCGTTTAAAATACTTCCTCCATTCACAAAAGTAAGGGAGATTTCGACAAGTGTCACACTAAATTAACCAGTTCTTATCCGATTTGCGCCCGGATTGATTCAATCAAATGTTTAAAACGTGGGCATTCCGTACATACCCTTTTTTCGCCGAATGACCACATCTTCGCGTCATGGTCGGCCCCGCAAGGTCCTCCTGTCACCTATCCTTATTATTTTCGACCCGCCACACCCGAAACCGTACCTATGGCACCCAAAGCATGGACTAGATAGAGTAGCTGATATGCAAGACATGACGTTCCACCTTACTGCAGCTTTAAAAGGCTATTATGGAAGGAGAACGGCCTCATATCTTCTACAAAGTCGTGCTGCGCACGAAGAAGCTCTGAAATTTCGAGCATGGTATATTAATATATTAACAAAAGCTATAAAGTTGTGCAAATAGTGCAGGTGAGTGGAATTCGAGTGAAATTAACCACTTTCAGCGATATATTACAGCATGATCACGGTGGATTACACCACGGAGGATCTAAAGTGTGCTCCATTCGTGGGCAATAAGTCAGGTTACTCTGTCACCTTTTTGCTTTGGTTATCTCCTTTTCCTGTTAACTGTGCGACGCTTGCGCGTTGTTCTTGGCTTCAACTGCGTAGGTTCTTTTCCGATCTGTTTCTAGATCAAAGGAACTGTTCGAACAGTCCTGGGAGGCTGTGGTGAGCTCCAACCTCCAATGCATGGCTTTTCGAGCCTCGTATCGGCTCAAACGTCGACCACAACCATTTTGTACATGGGCTATGGGCAAATGCCTCTGCAAGGGTCTGAATTGGACCAACAGTGGAACATTATCCTCGAGTTCTACTAGCGAAGTCTGCTCCTCCGAGTGGTGCAGGTTCTCTGAGAGTGCAGTCGCTCCGATTCCCAGCTCCGAGAATCCAGAGCTGAGAAGTACAGCATGCGAAGGAGAATTACTACAATACTTCAAGTCCCTCCTGTATTCAATTAGAAGACTCCAACGCGCATTTCACCTCAGAAATTCGTCGAACTGGCAAAATAATTGGAGCTTCGACATTGTCAGGAACACAGGTCGGGTGATCCTAAAATTGAATAAATGTACCCAAACGTTTACGTATACACAAGTGTTATCATACTTTGCTAGAAAGTGAGTTCTTGTACCCCGCACACGCACTGGACACGTTGGTGTCAAAACGCCTTGAAACTTGTATATCAACTTTAAGAGCCTCTACTGGTGACTTGGTACTATTGAAATGAACTCAATGACGTATCTTATCTATTTGACATACCAGAGCACGCACTTTAAATAAGTCCTTAATAAAATACGGCCCATCCTTTTTGTTGCCAACTTTTAGGAGCGAGCGCACATTATCTCCGATATGAGTTGATCCTTTTGGTCACTGGATGGAACGCTTTGAACACGAAGCACTGCTGACCTGTACATCCAACCGAGGTACTAAAGCTTCGTGTGTTTTGTCAATTTTGCTGCTATTTCTAAATTCTACTTTAGGATCGAGGAATTGCCAAAATTTTGAGTTTCTAACGGTTTATGCACATCTGCGTAACCTCACCACAACCAGCTGGTGATTCTGAAACAGATGGGGATATCGTGGCAAATGGTAAGTACGTTGTCTACCGTCTACAGTCCGTAGACTCTACAATGTGTGGCGAGCGTAAGTTACCTGGGAAGGCTCGCATGCGAGGATTACAAGAGATTAAAATGTTGCAGACCTCTTGATGTACCAAGGTGACAATATCCATCCAAACGATAGCAACGGAATCAATTCATTGAGCACAACAATTCCATGTTGATAATACAGTCTTCACTGCAGTGTTTTATACTTGACGACACTCATTTGCTGGACAAACATCTACCTCGGGTGATTGACGAAACGATTCTCACTCAATAAATCTAGTTGCGACGAGAGCACTTGGCGCTGGTAGGCGTATTAGGAGTAGAGGGGGCCTCAGTAGCAGGGGTGGTCTCTTCCGTCGTCGACGTGGGCGGAGCTGTGGTCGCCATGGGGGTCTCATTAACAGACGTCGACGCTTCACCGCCAGTCTCCTTCGATGCTGACGCGTCCGTCGTAGCAGTGCTTGGTGCTGTCGTACTAGTGGTGGTACTGGTCGACGGGGACGCATTGGTGGACGGCGCAGTGGTAGTTGGCGTTGAACTCGAGCCGGAGCCAGCAGTGACTGTCGACGCACCGGCGCCAACAGCCGAAGGAGCTGCGCCACTGCCAGAGCCGCCCTCTAGCCACACGCAGTCTGTGTACACTTGCCACGGGTCTCCGTGCAGAGCAAGCCAGTAGATAGTGAGGCGGTTGGCATTAGCGCACTTGGATTCATCGTACGGAATCTTGGCAGGAATATCCGGGTATTTGGTCTGGCAGTCATAGTCGAACAACACCTTGGTGTCGTCGCACCAGACCTCGCACGGACCCGTGTGGGTAAATCCAGTGTACTCGAGCTGTGACGCCGGTAGCTCCGACCGCGCTGAATCCTTGTATACGGTCAGACCGCAATCAGGGTCCGTCTTACTGCTGTAGAGCTCCTGGTTCTTCGCGATGAACGCACCGAGCGAGTCGTAGCCCTTCGTCGGGAACGTGGCCTTGAAGAAGTTCAACGTGCCGTTCACGCCGTAGCCGTACTTCGAGTTATCGTAGACGCCCCAGATCTCGTTGTCGACTGTACTGCCGTAGCCGTTGTTCGGATAGCCGTCCACCCACTGTGCGGCCGGGTCCACGATATAGCCGTGGCCCTGCACGGCCGGCATCGACGCCAGAACGGCGGCTCCTGTCGCGATGAGAGCTAGTACCTGCATGTTTTTATCCGCTGATCTGTTTGAGCTGTAGAGTGCTGAAGGCTTCAAATTCAAGAATGAGGGAATCGGCAATGCGGACAGCAAGGATGCATCATGATAAGTCAATGCCTCAGCGATCCCGATTAAGGGTGTTGCCCTCGAGCCAGCCAGCTGGAAGGGTGCTGAAGAAGAAGATGTAAAGGATCATTCCTACAGAAGTTGGGCAAAATACAAAGCAAACGAGAGCGACCAGGTGACGGCGTGGGATCTCGCGTCTTCATGACAACCAGATGGCGCAATGCTTTTTCACTTCTTGACACAGTATGGCTGACTTTCGGCAGCATAGTCGCATTGTTGCGCAGATCCGGCTGGCTCCAGTGCAGCTACAGTAATTATAAACGTATACAACATGCCTCGGCTGGCTGTTGATTTTGAGTCAGACTCTTGGCTCAAGGCTGCGAAGCTGCTGATCTTCATGTGGAATTGCCGATTCGGCGGCCGAAGGTACTCGGCTGGGTGGCGTGTGACTGCGTAAAAGAGTGCTCTCTCAGTATCATGTCGGTGCGTCAGTACACTTTCGTTGTCAACGTTGGCGCCAACCGAACTTTACAGACCCTCGTAGATCTCTCACTGCTCGTGTCGAACTTACTTGAATCCGTGCACGAGATCTGCTCCGATTTTCGCGGCACGAATTCGCGACACGGACTTAATCTGGTCTGACTGATCCTTTTGCTGCGTCCCAAATCAAGACTCTCGATGCTTGAGATCTGGTCCGATACTTGCAGGGGACAGATCAATTGCTATATTTGATCATGACAGAGCATAGCGCTCGAATGCATATCATGCTACATATTTTAAAGAAACGATGCGCACATTCTTCGAAGTACTTCGAGATATCTTCCATTTAGTTGCGGGGGTTGCATGTTGCTGGCGTGTTGGTTTCTTTGATGGTAAGATTGAAGGTGCTGTCAGCGGCGTCGCCATGGTCCGGACGAATTGTCATCCGTCTCAGTACCAGTGCTAGACGCCGTCGACGCCGAGTCCGAAGATTCGATTGTGGTAGTCGTCGACGTCGTCGTTTGATCCGAACTGGTGCTGGACTCTACAGCGTTGGCTGTCGACACGTCAGCGTCAATTGAAGCGGATGAAGCTGTGGTCGGGTTGGATCCTAGCGAGGAGCTAGACGTCGCTGTCGTAGTGCTACAGGATGAATCGGAATGAGCAGTCGTCGCCGTTGCCGTCGGCCTGCTACTTGTCGTGTGTGGCACCGTGGCGACATTTGAGCCGACCGTCTCAGTGGGACCGAGCCGCTACCCGAGCCAGTGTCGAGCTATACGCAGTCCATGAATTCGTCGTAGGGGATGCTAGTAGGGGATAACCCCACTGGGGATATCCCGGTATGTAGCCTGCTAATTGTACTCGATGAGCACCTTAGTGTCGTCGCAACATACTTCGCACGGGCCCGGGTGCGTGAACCCGGTGTGCATTAGGTTCGTGGAGGGTATCGTTCGACGCATACACAGTATAGCGGCACTGCTTGTCGATATCGTCGCTATACCGAACCTAGTTCGTCTCGGTGAACTGGCCCAGCGAGTTACAGCCCGACGTGTTGAATTCAGCCACGAAGAAAGCGGTAGGGGCGTGCTGTAGACCGACCTGTCGATGGGCCCCACATATTGCTGTCAATAGAACTGCCCCAGCCGTTTATAGCGTAGAACGAACCGGGCAGGCGAGAGATTTAACGTTGTCGTGGCAATGCTCGCAAACGATAATAGTGTGAAAAGTGATCGTAAAGACCCGGAGATCGTTTTACATCGGCCTCGATCCGAGAATCAGCTTCTCCGCTGGATTTAACATGTCGACCTGTACAGTACACACTTTAAATGTGATCAGGATGTTGGCATGTGGAATGTAGGAACACTCGATCTAAAATGCTAAGTATGTACTGTACTTCATTTTGCCCTTTGCAGGATTCCTAAATGAGGAAATGCCTAAATTAAACAATTTAAGAAAAATACTGTTTTCAAAAGTGCCTAATTTAAGGATTGATCTTCCAAAGTTTAGCACGTTCTCTGCTGATACCCGCATTCAGTTTCACGAGAAACCAAACCCTTCGAGTGCAAAAGCGCAAAAAAGCGCGTCCTTGATGCGTTCCTGAGCGGACACAAATACTTGGGAATGGCAACATTCAACGCCGTGCTTGTCACTGTTATTCATTGCACTGTTGCTAAGGGGCAGTCGTACGTGAAGATGGCGGTCTTGGTCATGACCGCGCTCAAGAAATACTAGGATAGCAGGCGGACATGCCCTTCTCCGTCAGGAAAGACCGTTTTTGAATGACTTTGCTGTGAATGTGAGTAGCTCGTCGTTTCACTGTGCACTCCACCCACTATAACGGGCCAGGTATTTATCCGTTACTAGCTTACACTGTAGATAGGAGGATGCTCGCAGTTATCAGGACAATTCAACTCTGACTTAATTTAGGACGCCCAAACACATGTCATCTGCTGATTGGTTAATAATGGGTTTGGCTCCACATATACCAGCCAATAAGATGATGGAAATTCAACACACGCTATTCGTGTGCTGATGCATCTACTTTTGTAAAACAATCTACCTAATTATATAATGGAGGGGCCCATTTCACTCACCGTGAAAGGGATGCGGATTGAAAAGGCAATCATGAACAGCAATAACAAGAGAATGACCTTCGAACTAGTACGTTTCAGCGGTGGTCATTATCGTCTATCACCACGAAACAAAATTTTAGATTTTCCTCCCCTACAATCATGGTTGATCGGGTTCCGATATTGCCATCATCCAAGTGAAAGACCTGCATGTGCAGTGTGGTGTGTGTCATCCAGTCAAGAGACCGTACTGCTTCGCACGCACGTTGGCTTGATGTGGAAGGTAGTGAACGCAAAGTCCGTGGCGGATCTGTTGGTGACAATGTAACGTTTGGCCACCCCCGGTGGTCCATACCAAATCTATCTATTTGACTTGTATGCATAGCTACAGGTTACTTGTGTAACACAAAATTATGTTTGTTACACAATGTAGCCAAATATATTGGTTGGACAGTAAGTCTCACCGCCGCTCTCGATGGCAAGAACCTCCTCAACTTCGTGATCAAGGTCGATTACACTGGCGAGTCCGAGACCGAACTGAGTGACGACGACGACCTCGACCCCGCGCTCTTCGACGCCAACCTCGAGGTGAAGACGACCATCGACGCCATCGGCGCGCCCAAGGGTAACTCACCCGCGGGCTCCTCATCCAGTGATGCCTCGGAAGACGGCTCGGCAGACGATGATGGAGACGTCGACATGGGGCAAGGACTCCCTCCTCTGATCCAGTCGTTCACCTCCCAAAAGCGCGACGAACTAAAGCGAGCTGAGAAGCTAAAGGCAAAGAGCCAGAAGCTGAGCTCGAGGAAGCTGCGGCACCTCGAAGCCAAAGCTAAGGCTTTCATCATCAAGGCCATCGACAATCAGCACGTTCTCATGGTCAAGGACAAGACTACCGCGTTTGAGATCTTTCAATCGCTGTGTAGCAAGTATGAGGGGGCCACCATTCATGGTGATCCCTACTACATTCAGTCGTACCTCATGGCGCTCAAATACGAAGAGGGCACGGATCTCACCGAGTTCATACCGCCATGAAATCTACCACGGAAGCCACGAACAGTGCGCTAAGTGATGAGCAGAAACCGCTGTATCTATATCATTCCCTGCCGACCGAGTGGAAACCTGACTTGGATGTGTGGAAGGGCGACAAGAAGTACATTCCGTACGAGGACCTGTAGAGGAACATCGAGACCAAGGTCCACAATGAGCTAGCGTGCAACCCCTATATCCTCAAGCAAGGAACTCCGGACACACAAGAAACCCGTGCTGAGCGAGCTCTTCCAGCCATGACGCCTACGCTCCGGCCCAAGAGGTCAAGGCACTTACGGCAACGACGACGTGCACGTACTGCCACCGTGACAATCATGACACGGTTGACTGCTACATACTGCAACGACACCTTCGCAATGAAGAAGTCAAAGCGGGCAGGCCAACTTCAAGCTGAAGGATCCCAAAAACCCACCACGCCAGCACCCTTACCAAGGGAGCTACAATGATCGTCCTCGACGCCAGCCTCGCAATAACTTCAGAGGCAACCGGAACGACAACTCCGAGCGACACCAACGTCGCAACAAGTTCCAAGGACGCCGCCAGCAAGACCACGGGAACAATGAGTACGCGTCACTACCCTCGCTCGACCTCAGCCCCGACACGAGCGTGATTGGACTTGCTGCTCGAGAAGTCCCACATGACCCAGTCTGGACGGTGGATTCGGGCTGCGCTCGCCACGTCACGTCGAGCCCACACTGGTTCGTGAAGCTGACCTCCACCGTAGGCAAGGCCATCACAGTCGGCGGCCATCACCAAATTCCGATCAAGGGAACGGGTAATGTGCAGCTTGGCATCACAGATTCGAAAGAAGTCGAGCGAGTCATCGCTCTGAACAATGTGCTCTATGCACCTGACCTCAAGTTCAACCTCCTCTCAGCGCGCCAAGCCGTCCAAGACGACTTCAAATCAACTTTCCAAACGCCAAGAAATGCGTTCTGTTCTTCGCCCACCGAAACAAGTTTGAGGTTAAAACCGGAGAACACTCCAACCTCTACCAGTTCCACGCGAACCTGACCGAAGATGCCACGGACGCCCATGTGGCCACCACAGGTAAGACTGACAATGTCATGCTTTGGCACGCACAAGCGGATGGGTCATCCTAACTTTCACATTATGCAGGATCTGACTAAAGCGACCACAGTCACAGACATGGGAATCTCGAGCTTCGACTCCAATAAGGACTAGTGCTGCTCTTCGTGTACCTACGCGAAGGCCCATCGTAACCCATTCAATAAACCTACTGTTGAAAGGGCCAAATTTCCCCTTGAAAAAGTCCATACAGACATGGCTGGTCCTCTACCTGTGCCCACACTTTCAGGCTGTACGTATTTTCTGACCTTCATAGACGACTACTCGCAATATATGTTTCTCTACATCATCAAACGCAAGTCCGACGTGTACGAACACTTTGAAGACTTTCGCAAGCGATCGCGAAACATGTTTCGGGCTGACGTCGGAGAATTCCACTATCAGGCCAATATGCATGACCCTGAAGTCCAAACCCTGCAAAGCGACAACGCTCGTGAATATGAGGAACTCGGACGTATTGTCTTTCAGAAATACAACACACACGCACAATTTACCAATGCGTACACGCCACAACAGAATGGCGTAGCAGAGAGGCGCATGAGTACCCTAACGGAGTGGACTAGAGCCTTTCTTATTGACGGCGATCTACCGAAAGCTCTATGGGGAGAATGTTTGAAACATGTTGTCGATCTTCTCAACATCAAACCTAGCTCAGTGACAGGCAAGACCACTCCTCATGAGAAATGGTTTAAACGGACACCGTCTGCTCACTACATTAAGGTGTTTGGATGCACTACATATGCCCACATTCCAGAGCTCTATCGCACAAAGCTTGAAGCACGAGCTAAGAAATGCATGTACCTCGGCCTGCCGGCAAATAAAAAAGGCTATCGACTGTTAGATACGACAGAAAACCGAATCGTGTATAGTCGAGATGTCACGTTTCGTGAAAACGAATTCCCTCGACTGGATTTCGTCGACTCTCACACCGATTCAGACGTACTCCGTCCTGCTCCGGAAAATACCACTCCTGTGCTCGCACGCCCCCTCCTACCACCCTTAGTAACAATGCTTAAACGCAATACCAATGCGCTCACTGCTGACTCCAACAGCCGAGAAAAAAGAAACCTAGAGCAGCCAATGCTAATACAGACACCGCGTTCTCAAGAAGCGCTTCAAGATGTCAGACTTAGGCGAAGCTCAATGTCTCCTGGGCTGGTCTATTGCCCACAATCGGACTACTCGATCAATCTTTCTTCATCAAGAGCAATACGCTACGAAAGTCCTGGATCGCTTCTCCCATCGATGCGTATCCCGTTGGAACACCAACGGATCCAAGCGTAAAACTCTCCCTCGACATGTGTCCACAAACACAGGCGGAACAAGAAGAAATGAAAGCGATCCCGTACAGAGAGGCTGTAGGTAGTATTCTTTTTGGGAACTAGAACAGATCTAGCATACTTTCTTTGAGAAGTGAGCCAATTCCTGGCGAATCCAGGATAGCAACATTGGAATGCTGTTAAGAGAGGCCTGAAATACTTAAATGGTACGCGAAACCTTGGTATCACCCTTGGTGGAACCGAAAACATGGAGCGGTATAGCACCAAACACTACCTCACAGCCTTTTTCGGATGCTGACTATGCCAACAGCCCCGATACAAGACGCTTGGTAGGCGGGTTTATCACGTACATGTGCGGAAGCCCAATCTCCTGGCAATCGAGAAAGCACCATACAGTAGTATTGTCCACAACGGAAGCAGAATACATTGCACTGTGCCACTGCATGTAAGTTATCTTCCTAAAGCTGCTACTGAAACACGAAAGTCCCCACGCAATTACACTCTATGAGGATAACCAGAGCTGTATCAAACTATTATACAACCCCGAACGTCACGGGTGCAGCAAACACATCCATATCTGCTACTGTTTTGTACAAGGAAAGGTAGAACGAAAAATGACAGGTGAGAAGCTCTCGTCGTAGTTGATGCCATATTTTTGAAGGAAACCTTTGATAACCAGACGTGCCTTATAGCGATCAATTCCACCGTTGCCTTTGTTTTTAATGGCAAACACCCAGCGGCATTGGAGGGCACGACGTCCTTTGGGTAGTTTCGTGAGCAGCCATTTCTTATTGTCCATGAGAGATTTGTATTCAGACTGGGACGCTTGTTTCCAATGCAGTGCTTCAGGTAATCTCATAGCTTCGTTGTAGGTGGTTGGCTCAGAAATGTGGCGGGTTGCTAGCAGCGTATATATTTGAGTGAGGTGCGCTTTGCGTTCTTCCGTATCAATGGTGCCCTTCAGCAGTTGTGACAGAGTCGAGACGCTGGCTTGTGAGCAGCTTGTTGCTGACGGTATTGTCAATAGCAATAAGCTTGTCACTCTGCGCCTTGCGCTATACCGCCCGATGTGCAATGTCATCGATGGTTGTTTCACCGCGCTAAAGCCGCACCTGAAGCCGCACTTGGCTACGAAGCGATGTGGGTATCTTGTGCGCGTTGCCTATCTCTAGCTGCGTACAGAATATTATTGATGAAGGAAGCTGTTGAAACAAGCAGGCATATTGAGATCCAACGCTTGATATGGCGTATGGAGCTTCCCTGCTTAAACACGCAATGACTATAACGGTCCACAGGGTCTATACGGGTGGCCTCAATGAAAGGCAGATCGCATGGCTAAAAAAATTGGTACACAACAAATATCACTGCTCTGAATGGAAGTGCAAAGCTTGAGCTCGAGATCAATTCTAGATCGCCAGCAGCAAGCATACCAATATATCGGTTGGATAACCGGCTAGACTATGCCTTTTTACGGACATCCAAATGGCAACTATGTGGTAAGGGTGATAATGTATGCTCGATGGTACGCGGATATACAGTCGCCAAGCGATACTTGTGTAATCACCAATCACATCTCTAGCGTCATAGCGGCCCAGCCCCGACGGTGGACAAACATGCATTTACTACAGTTACTGGAGATGGTGAACGTTCGCCATCTACTGAAGACCATCTCCAAGTGTATGCGTGCTGTCACTAGACGCTAAGGCACTGCTGCCTTAGCAGTGCTGAGTGACAAGAGTTGGATTAAAAATCCAATTCTTTCGCCCATACTATGTCATATCGGAAACGACTTTCTATCAGAAGCGCTCGGCTTGTTAATCCTTGTTGGTGATGTCCTTTTCAGCAACCCATTGTGATCTTCCACCTTTGTACACAAAATTAGAGCTAACCCTGGACTGAGGTCTCAGGTTGTGTTGACCTTTGCGATACTGTATAATACGCCTACTTTAGTAAAGACCGGATCCTTTAAAAAAAAATATGACTTACTATACCAAAGCAGTAAAAAAAAAAGGCGGGTTCATACAAGCACTGTGATTTAAAAGCATTTTCCGTGCAGAGCGTGGCGATGACATGGGGGTAAGTAAGTAGTTTTTAAGAACCACTTTGCCTGGTTAACAAAAAGTCTAAACATAGTTTGTCTGGCAATTCTATTTTATATAAACACACTTTGCGCGTAACAACCCACAGTTTTCGGCTATTTTGTACAACAGATCTTTAGAACAGTATATCTAGGTCTTTACTTTTTAATGCACCATGGTACATTATTTAAAAACTTAACGCAGTCGATGATGTCCCCTACACCGTATCACTTTATACTGGATTACAATAGCTCGCCGAAAATTTCCACTCGAGTAAATTTCGCGGTGATTTGGACGCGAATTTCACTTTTAGCATAAAAGCGGCACTCACACTGTTACAAGGTTATTCCTTTGACGGAATTGTATTCTTAGTGCATATGCAAGTCTGTACCAATTTTAATGTTGCTTAGGGACTCCTTAATAGGCCTCCCGTAATGCCCATGCTGGCTGTAACAAGCAATACGTGTTCTATGAATTTACAAGGTAATTCGGATTTGTAATGGTTAGGAATTGGTAGTAAAAAAGAAAATATTACTAATTCATCATATGATTTTCTATTTATAAAATTTTATAAATATCCGATTTATATTACTAACCCTCACATGAAGAATATATAATACGATAGTTTAATATTAATCATCAGTAATATTACTCGAAAATACTATGCTTAATAAAAGCTGTATTGACTTATTGATTTCAACTCTATAGCTATGCCAAAACAAACGTTATATTTCATCTCGAAGATTTTCGGCACAACTTACGGCATTTTGTTGCAAAGACATTTCTGTTAGTAAGAGTTAGTAAGTGAAAATCCTTCAAATAAATATTTTTACACTTGTTTGAAGAAATAAAAACTAGTAAAATGCATACTTAAAGTACACTCGAAAAAAACCCTTATATGTTTAAAATATGTTTGTTTAATGAATTATTATATGAATAATATATTCCTTCCGTCGGTGTTTAGTAATATTAACCCGTTTATAACAAAAAAATCGACCAATTCAAAGTGTTTTTTCCTTATATGATGCTAAAATCAGTTTTAGCATCAATCTCTGGTTATGGTGATCTGGCGCTTGGTCTGATATTTGAAATGATGGAACCACACGACCAATACGACTCCACCTGAGTACAACAGTTATTTACAACGCAGGACAGTGTTGCTACTTACTCCATAACATTAAACCGAATGATTGTGGCGAAACTCACTCTTTTGAAGCAACATCAGTCCATCCATCTCAGCAAATCACCATCATGAGTAATGGATAGTATTAGGGTTTGACAGTAGTTGACTATCTACCAAAGTACTACATTCTTGTATTAGTAGGGTCTCCACCAATAGTGTAGTAGTATCATCACATTCATTTTTTATTACTACAGTACTAGTACTATAGTAGATCTCCAGTAGTAGCTCCTTATTACGGTCGACATCTATACAGACGCTTCAGATATCGTTATCGAGAATGAAAAGGAGCGAATGCGTTGATAGACCGTCGTCTAATACGGCATCGCTAGCTTTTACAAAGCTCCTAGATTTCATGACGGAATACCCGTTCAATCGAACTCCGCGACCTTGTACATCTAACACGCGCCACATGTTGAATGCCTACTGTATAAATTAGTGGTTCCAAACGTGTAACTAACTAACTAACTAACTAACTAACTAACTGGATCCAAGTAGGATTAAATACAACACACACGTGTTAGCCAACAGGCAGGCACTGGCGGGTATTTTGTGCCAACGGTCTAGATTTTGCTCAAAGTACTATATATTGGCGAACTATAACTTACGATATTTCAGCATGAGCTATTTCAACTAGATGCATATAGTATTTTGACGAAAATATGTAGAGTAGTACTATAATATAGGTGATGGTGTACTTTACTATCTATTGATTTGGAATATAACTATTATAACATATAAAATATTCATATGAAAACAGAGAGCTTCTACAATTCTAAAGTTGGACGAGTCCACGAAACCACTGTGGCTATAAAAGACCTCCATCTGAATTGATACTGCGAGAGTTTGTGGTCAATGACCGATAGCCCTTAACGATCAGAAACGGAGAACCTGACGCCAAAATATGTTTGAAATATACTACTTTTGCTTAACGTTCACCTTACATTATGATGTCAGCAGAATATTGAGCGAGATAATATCGAGCGAGTTACGCAGTACCGTGGAAATAATCCGTTGAGGGCTGTCCATACCTAAAGGTATTCCCAGTATATGTAATCTAATTCGTTCTACTACCAGTCGGGGCTGGTGCCTCGAACGAAATTTGGGACTTGTACTGCATGTCAAAAAATGCTGGACTGTGGATCTTAAAGAAGTGTTGCTGATTGGATCCTTTTTTTCTCTTTTTGTATGTTGTGTTTCCCATAGTACCAGAACACGTTTTGTCTATTGGCCCATTTATATACTGGGATAACAGTACGAAGTGCTGCAGAGCAGCTTGCAGGCGATTAATTCGTTAGTCTTCAATTTTTGCCTTAAACTTTGTATTCAAAAACGTCCTTTCACGCTTTCACGTTCTTTCACGCCTTCATTTTTGTACAAGGGCTGTTCCACCACCGTCCTTCCATCCTTCTCCAATTTTTTTTTTCACAAATCATCTGTCTGGCAGATCTTCTTTACAACTTGTAGTATTAGATGGTGAGTGATTGTTCTCACCAATAAGTGGAGGTATGCATGTACTTCATTCCGCAACTTGCCATGCGGGGACGAAAGCGATTCCCGCCGGACAAGCCAGTCTACGAGGACGAGATCGTCGCAGAGACACCGCCGTCGCCCACGTATTCGCAGCCTCCAAAGAGATTTAAGCGCCAAGACGTGGCAGACCGCATCGACAAGAACACGACAGCCGACTTCTTCGTCATGAAAAAGACGCTCAAGTCCTTTTGTAAACCCGAAGCAGAGCGACTCGTGTGGGACGAATGCATCCAAGAAGTCAACCACGCCATCGCCGAGGCATACCTGCTGGCTAACTACTACGCGCTAAGTCAGCTCAAGGCTGGGTGACCTCTGTGTAAGATCGATACCCCGTTCTATCAGCTGTGTCTGAGTCTAGTTACAAGCGTTCCACGTCGAGCGAAGTACGAGAAGTTCTTGGCGACGCAAGCGACCAAGGATAGGCGAAAGCTCTGGATCGACAGCGGCAAGGTCGGTAAGTTAAAAGACTTCCCCGTGACTGTGCCGGAGTTTTCCGAAACGGGATACCAGGAATGGCTGAAGACACAGAAGGTCAAGAATGCGGATCTGGAGAACGCAAACGATGAGTTTGGGAAGATGCGAGGAGATCGGGCTCAGGCGAAGACGGAGCACTTGAACCAGGGTTGGTTTCAAGCGGCAGCAAAGAAAATGGCTACACATGCTAAAAACAGTGTCGTGCGGAACTTTGCCAAACGACTGCTAACGTACGTCATCAAGCATTATGGACTAAAGCGTGCTGCCGCGCATGAGGTTCTCAACAAGACGTTTGATACCGAGGAGTTCAATTCTACGTACGTTCGCGTGGTAGAACCCGTCATTACAGAGCTGCGCAAGAAGATCCCGCGGACGAAAGATGGTAAAATCAGCTGGGTACCTCACGACTTGCTGCCGAAGTTCTACGAGTTCGTCGAGGAGTAAGACGGGGAAAATATGGGCAAACCGGACTTCGTGGAGAAGCCGACGTTCTCTCTGCTTCCGACCAAGCGCGGGTTTGAGGCCAGCTACTGCAAGGTTGACTCGACTGGGCTGAAGTCGCTGCTCAAGCGCAGCCCGAAGTTAGCCGTGGTCTCTGGGTTGTTCATGACGGACAGATGTGGGCATTGGAAGACAGCTTAAAAAAATAGCGCACCTTGGATCGCGATATCTGGGTAGTGGTGGCGTCGACTCTTCCGTGTGGACGAGATGGAAAAGCCTGGAGCCCGCAGCTTCCACCGCGAGATCACGACTGACGGATACGGCGTAAGCGTAAACATGAATCGACCGACGCACGGGAAGCGGAAAAAGAAAAAAATGCAAAGACGGGAAGACTGAGAAGACGAAGGACAAGAATGTATCCGAAGTACTGGGGTTGCCGCTCGCGAAGACCCCGAAGGGAAGAAATGAGGAGTATGATGTAGTGTGGGGGATCGACCCTGGGTGAACGGATTTCATCACGGCCATCAACCAAGATGATAAGGTGGTTCGCTTTCGGACGTCCAACTTCTATCGAGCAAACGAATACTCTCGTTCAAACCGCAAGTCCAAGCACCTCTTCGACAAGTCGCCTCGCGTCCGCGAACTGCTCTAGAACACTCCAACGAAAAAGACTTCTTCGGTCGAAACGTTTTGCAACTCCATCGAGTTTTGGTTTCAGCACGGTCACGAACTGCTTTCTTTCTTCATGGACCCGTTCTTTCGTAAGCTGAAGTTCCGCAGATGCACTCTCCGCACTGCGCAACTAGACCGCGCTTGCTTCGCGCTAGCGGGCGCCCGAAGAACCAAGGCGGTCGTAGGCTTCAGGGACTGCGGGATGGCTGGCGAGGGCTTGATCAAACGCAGCGTTGCCGGTCCAGTGAAAGCATGTACGTGCAAGCTCGCCCGCTACTGCGAAGTCGTGGTGGTGGACGAATTCCGGACAAGCAAAAAGCACTTCGACTGTCAAACAACGGACGACCTTACGAATCAACGCGTCATGCGCAAGTGCCGAGACGGCGTTGTCCGCAAGGTTCCCGTGCACAAAGTTCTGCACTGCTTGCGCAAGCACGGCGGATGTGGTAAGTCAGTCGACCGAGACGTGAACGCGGCCAAGAACATCCTCAGTATACTGCAGAACCAGCTTGCAGGCATCTCCGAACAACCTCTCCGCCTCCGGCGGTAGTCAAGACAAAACCAATCTTCAGCCCATCCATTTGCTGGGTGGTCTCACTTGTGTGAGAGCGACTCCTCCGCAAGGAGGAGCGACGTTGACCGCCGGTTCCTCTTAGACAAAAAAAGGAAATCAGCATTACGAGGGCTAGAGTGCTCCATCGATGGTTTCGCGACCAAGGTCTCGAGGAGGTTTTAGTTCGTCGGGTTGCAGTAGAGTAAGTCAGATGTGAGGAGAGCTTTCAAGGTTCTTGCCAATAACGCTTCCGTGACCCTAAGCTATCCCAGCCTCCGCCTCAGCCCTAGTATACTGGTGGAGCCTGCAAAATCGAGGGTTCTACTAACAGATACATACGTTGTACAGTACACTCAACTACGCACGTGACTGGATCTCTGATATGTATTTCTAGTAGTTTTTGCTACGTGAAAAGAAGTGTATTCCCAGCTAAGTCGAAGACGATCTAGTGACACAACATGAGTTACTGGGCATTTGTGAACAAACACATTCTTCCCACCTACTTGTAGATACGAAAACCGACAAACGAGTAAAAACCTACTTCCTCGGCAACATATGTCTGTGTTTTTGAGACTCGTGTGTGTAGCACGCGGGCTTGAGCAAGACCAAGTATGGCTAAATTCCGTTCGCTTTTGTAGGGTTAACGCGCTGAATTACCTGTTTTGTGTTTAGGCAAGTTGTAGAGCTCCTTCCAAAATCTCCAATCGTCCAGATTTACAGTCCCATGACTTCAGTCCTCCCATGTTGTGTCAGCATTCTCTGGGAGCACTCACACACGCACGACTCGAGGATTTTGTAAGTATCATGTAAACCAGTCAGTAAAATGATTCGATGTGGAGACCATAACGATACGTTGATAATACAGGTTAGACGACCAACTACTCTGGTGATTCGACACACAGATTCCGCGGTTTAAACTCTATCCACGGCGAGAGCATTTCGCATTGGTTGCCGGTGTGCTAGGCGCTGTAGTGACTGGGGTTGTCTCCTCCGTCGTAGACTTTGCCGGGGCGGTAGTTGCTGCGGGGGCATCATCGACAGCCGTAGACGCCTCACTGGCAGTCTCTTTTGATGCTGGTTTGTCCTTCGTAGCAGTGCTTGGCGCTGTCGTCGCGGGGCTGGTGCTGGTCGGTGTCGGAGTTGAACTCGAGCCGGAACCGGCGGCGACTGTCGATGCACCGGGACCAACAGCAGAAGGAGGCTCTCCTCTTCCAGAGCCGCCCTTTAGCCACACACAGTCCGTGTAGATCTGCCATGGCACACCGTGGATTCCAATCCAATAGATCGTGAGGCGGTTGGCATCAGCGCACTTGGATTTGTCGTACGGAATCTTGGCCGGAATGGCAGGATATTTCGTCCAGCAGTCGTAGTCGAACAGCAGCTTGGTGTCGTCGCACCAGATCTCGCACGGTCCAGGATGCGTGAAGCCCGTGTACTCGAGCTGAGCCTCCGGCAGTTCCGAGCGAGCTGAATCTTTGTAGATTGTCCAACCGCAATCGGGATCAATATCGCTGCTGTAAAGCTCTTGGTTTTTGGCGATAAATTGGCCGAGAGAGTCGTAGCCCTTGGTGGGGAACGTGTCCTTGAAGAAGCCCAACGTACCGTTCGGACCGTAGCCATACTTTGTGAAGTCATACGTGCCCCAGATTTCGTTGTCGACGGTACTGCCCCAGCCGTTGTCCGGGTAGCCTTTAAACCACTGCGCGGCGGGTTCTACGATAAAGCCGTGTCCCCGCACGGCTGGCATGGACGCCAACACGGTGGCTCCTGTCGCGATGAGAGCAAGGTTCTGCATGCGTCCACTGGTCTGTTCAGCGTGAAGACTGCTGAAGACTGCAAATTTGAGAGTGAGGAAACCGTTTGAGCGCAGCGAGGGCTACGGACAGCAAGGACATGTCGGTACATTGGCGATCTCAATTGCCCACCAGTCAGCCCAGCTGGAAGCGTGTCGACCAAGACGGTGTGAAGCCTTTACTGAAGCATCATGCTTACAAAGGTGACGCAAAGCGAACAAGAGCGATCAGTTCGAAGATTTATTAGTACAAGTCTGATCTCCGACTGTACTCACCTTCATCAGCTCCAGATGGTCGTCAGCGTTGCAATGTTTTTTTTGCCTTCGTTGACACAAGTCATAGTGACTACATTTATGATAAAGTATACCTGAATTAATTCGCGTACAATGATCTCGAATACGCTTTTACCAGCTGGTTAAGCGAAACAGGGTCTACCTACACGTACTGCCATCAAGATGACGAAATGCTTCCGTTGGGGTTCTTTCGGTGGGGTAAGCGAGCCTTCACATTCTGTTCGGCCGACACTGTCGGTACGCTGCGTATTCATCAATTTTTTTAATCAGCACTATCAGTCTGCTCGGTTTTTACAAACTACTAATACTTGAAGTAGTTTAAAACTAGGCATGCGAATTCACTTGAATTCGAATATGGAATCCGTTCCCAACACGACACGATTTCTATTTTGTTCTCCTGGTCTGGTAGGTCAGCAATGGATACAGGGTGCAGTCTTTTGCTTCAAAACATTAGCTCACTCAAGATTAGATCAAACTAATGATAAATTGTTTCTTAGCTGGTACTGGCCTCCGCATCGTGAATGTTTCGTTCACAGCTGAAGCAATGCGGATGAAGTAGGTAGCAGCGTCATAAATGTTGAGTTGGAAGTGCTGTACTAGGAGTAACCTTGTCGACGCTGAGATAATGGTGTGGGATATGCCGTAGGTGTGCGAGCGTCGAGACCCCAGTGACGAAGATTCGTCCGAATCGCTCACCTCCGATGAATTTTGTGCGAGGGTAGCACCCGGAGCAGTCCGAGATTCCAGGATGATTGAGGCAAAGATGCTTGCTTTTCGCTGGTTGAAGGCGTTGACATAAGTACGTAGGTAAAATCAACAGCATGTGGAATTGGGGGTATTCTCCTCCGAGGGAATTTTTCATGCGATTCGGTCACTCAAGTTCAGTGACTAAACATTAAAGTCCGCACAACGTATGCAGTTGGTGTTGGGTCAATACCGTCGACACTACCGAAGAAAAGCGACATCAGTACGCCCTTGATGTCGCTTTGCTTCGGTAGTGTCGACGGTATTGACCCATCTGATCACATAATGTAACCAGATACGCCAACAACTACATGATCCATTGCATGCGTTGCTAGTAGATAAAACAATTCAAGTTTAGCTCTTTGCGAGCACTATAAAAACGAGCTAATTCAGTTGCTTAAGCCCTGTAAATTTTACGATTAACTCATAGCAATATCAAGCCTAAATCGCGACCATTTACAACTAAGCCAACCCAGTCAGCGAAAGTATCGGCGTGCACGACGGCGTTTATCCTGCCGGATCCAGCCAGCACGAACCCTCTCCATAAATTCGTGAGATACTTGACTACACGGCGGCTTCAAAGAAGGCGCTTGGCTTTGATGGTAGATACAGTATCCATTTGGTAGTATTTCCCAGTTTTTACGGCAGCGAACGCCAGTAGATGACGCGATTCCGGGGCATTGGTTAGCGTACGGTGCGTCCACGTAAAATGGGTTCGGATCTTGGTTCTTGTGAAAGTCGCAAAATCCGCGAGGATTTAATCCCTCGACGTTTTTGCAGCGTTGTCCAGAGGATTTCGCGATGCCCTTGCACTTGACAGCGTTGGGGTTATGTCTACCACAATAGCCTTCTGCGTTCAGGCCGTATCGAGTCCCGCATCTTTGGCCAGCTTTGTTACATCCACGGCACCTCATTCTTGAAATGTTGCTATGTTGCTCTTGAACCTCTTCACTCAGTTTTGAAAATGAGACCTGTCAGAAAGCTCTTGTCTCCATCGCGTTCGAATTGGAGACGGAAAATCCATGCAAGATGGACCTCCAGAACTTCCGAATTGCATGCCCTCTCAACAAAACCTGAAAAATCCATGCAAGGAAGACCCACTGTTACTACACCGTGGTAACTGCAAAACCAAATCCAAAGTGGCGAGGGATTTCCATACATTAGCGGTCGCCTCCAAACTCGCTCGTTTGAAGCAGTATACCCTGGCGACACAGTGCTCGAAGGTGCTTGTAAACGTGTGAAGGCGAACACTACAGTGCCGAGCTATAAATGTCTAACCTCTTTACTATTGTATAAATTGATACAGTTTGGTAACAAATCCCCACACAACATCAGCGGTCCTCACAATACCGAACACGAAAAACGATGGCCAAGCTCTTCGAGAGGAATCCGCGCAACGTGCGGTGCGTCGCGAGTGCGTAGTGCTGTGTCAATAACAAGTATTTTAACTATGTGTGTGGCTGCAGCATCGCGTCGTGGGTGGCGGCTGTCGGGCTGTTCGCAGCTTGGTACAAGTACGATGAAATGAAGGAGCGGCAGTTCTCGGAAAGGGACGCCACCGAGTGGAACGAGGCCATTCTGCGCATGCACCCGCAAAAACCCAGCAAGAAGAAGAAACAGGAAGAGTAACTAAAGCATCACTCAAAATGTAAATAGTTAACACCCAATTTTCAGTTCTATGAGCTTCTCTATCAGTTGTGTGACATCCAACCGTCGAGTCTTTAGTGGCTGTTGGGTGCCAGGTCTCAGCTAGAAAAGCTTCTTTGGCACTTGGTCCCAAGTTGCAGACTTTGGGCTTGGATGCAATAGGCAATTCATTCGTGAAAAAACTCTCAAGTGAACAAACAACCATGGCCATTCCGTTCGATAATCCCAGCAAGGTTGCCAACGATGTCAAGAGCAACGTCAAGAGCAACGTCAAGGGCAACAAATTTGCGTAAGAGCTCTTGCGGAGAAGTGTCTATGGGTTTGCTGCTGTAATCTTAGGATATTTTCGGTTTTCTGTTGCTAGGACTCCGTTGATGATTGCCGCCGGTGTAGGTGCTTTGGCGTGGTTCATGGCGTCGGACCGCAAGCACGAGCCCGCTCCCCCTCATGACCGCGATCCCCGTGCACCACCCTCCAAGATGAAGTGATCGGCGCGCAACAGCTACGCCGAACAAGTCTAGGCAGAGTGAGCAAGAAGTGAAGATGGAGGAGTTCGTGGCTGATATGAAGGTCTGCGAAAGCAGACAAATAAGACTTCGAATACATTTATTCTGTTGAAGAAAATGTGTGGGCGAGTGTTTTCAATTGAACGGCAAAAGTTATATTTTAGTTTGCTTTTTCTTTAGCTACGACACAAGCTGCAGTTACTGGGGTTCGAAAGCACTTGACCACTGCTTTATAAAGCTGAAGTGGTAGAGGACATTTTTCAACCTGGAGCACGCACATCGTGTTTTTCGTTTTCAAAGAAGTCAGACGCGAAGTTGCAAGTAAAAAAGCAAGACGGCACATTTCTTATCGGGTCGACCAACGTCGTGTTCGGGTTCGATTCAACCAAAGTGAACTGAATTCTGATTGCATTGAATCGTAGCAACGCTGTATTTACCCCAGAATCCCGATGTAGAAGAACATCGACTTTGGATAACATTCAATGTTTCAATAAGAATTTTGAGTTGAAAATCGTTTAACAAGAACAAGGATGTCGTTTGATGAAAACAGCAACGAATAAGTTGCGTTTCAAGAATAACATTGTCTTGTGATCAGTTCTAACGGAGCGCATACAAACCTGGTCCGCACAAGCACTGCTTTCAAGTCAGCCTGTCGGAAATGAATAAAGAAGGTAACGGGAGGCACGAATTGTTTGCCTATTCACATTTGAGCTCCACCAAACGACATGTACAGGAACTCCCTCAGCTCATAGATGAAGGAAAATCTTGCCGATTTATGCGCTGACACACCGATGATGTGACTTCCAGTAGCGTGAAATCAATGGGTTCACTTTGTGATATCCGAGATCAAATTTATAGTTAATTTAAGTGAGACCTCTTCAGGACCTGGCTGCTGCTTCTTGCCAGTGACACTGCTACTTCGACTCGTACGTTTGCTGCTCTGCAATGTCCCCAAGACCACTTACTTAATTATTAGAATAAGCTTGTGCGAGACTCATGTGAACCCATCGCTTCCCCAACGACCCACCTCAAGTGAGCCACTTGACTAAAGTAAAGAATCTTCCCTGTCCCTTTTCGTCCAATCTTATGCCACCAACCTGTACCCAAGCTTGGCGTTACAATCATGTGTTCAGTTCCTCAGTGAAAGGCCTCTGGTTCCATTCCGCCTTTAGCTGCGTGCGCTGCGCTTGGGCTCCGAGGGCTCGTGGCGTCATGTCGTATGTGTTCTCGCTAGTGCTCGCAACCCTCTTGATCTCCGTCCAGGCGCGAACGGATATCGCCTTGCAGCTGTATGACAACTCGGCCATCAGTAAGCCGACGGCGCCTACCAGCCTTAACAAGGCCCTTGAGGGTCTCGTTGGCGATGTCAATAACTTCACCAGCTTCGATACAAATGTCCAACGTGCCATGCTATGGAGCGCCGGCTTGGTGCGGGCCATTCCCGAGTCTGACGACTCGACGGCCGACTACGTGCAAGTCTACGTGCTGTGTGGACGCACCATGAGCGACGTGTTCCTGTCCGCAGAGACTTTTGATAACACCACGAGATGTGCAATCAAGGAGTGCAAGAGCAACGTCATCAGTTTTACCGAATCGGACTGCGAGCCGAGCTACGTCGAGTCCAAAGCACTGTGTGCGCTGAGTCCGGGTGCCGCAGGATCGAGCTTCGGCACGCTCAAGACGAAGACAGGACCGCTGTGGTCCGTGGACGGACAACTCGACGAATCCTTTGACCCGCAGATTTTTCAGTACGACAGCAGCTCGACAACTGACAGTGAGACGATGTATCTGCTGGCACAGAAGAGCTCGTGGACTATGGACGATGATACGTGTCCTAATGGCGCTCAGTTTATCGTTCCTTGCAGGGAGGTGACAGCTAGCGAAGTGCAAGAAGACGCACAGCAACGCACGTGGTGCGAACCTGAGATCGATCTCGGAGTTAAACTCTGGGTCAGTGAAGCATACGCGGCCAGTTTATCCAGTAGCGATGACTCGGGCTCGAAGGTTTCTTCCTCCGTCGCCATTATTCTGGGAGTGCTGCTGGGCATTTGCATCGTGGCCGCAATCGTGTTTTTCATCATGTGGCGTCACTCGAGGAGCTTTTCCAACAAAGACGGTCTCACTGACAACGAGCACAACACGTTCTTCATGCACGCGCATTCATTCCGCGACCAGCCGCAACAAGGCGGCAATGCTTCCGGGCAATATGTGTCGAACAATGGACCGCACCCACCCTACGAAAACGCCATGCAAATTGAGGCAATCAATGAAAGTTTCCGTATGCGGTCACCGGAACTGGCCGCCTTCTGCGACGACCAGGAGCTGATGCTGAAACGTATTGCCTTTGCTGGAGTTGTGTACCGTGAAAAAATGTCGAGTGGGCCGAATGGTGAGGTCTGGCGCGGAGAATACGAAGGGCAGCAGGTTGCCATTAAGTGCACTGTTGCTGCCGCTGTTGCCAGTTCCGCCGCTGCGAACAACAGTCGCTCTTCGGCGATGAACGCTTCTGCTCTCCTTGGCGACAAGGAGCTCAAGGCGCTCGTGGACTTTACGAAGGAGATCCGCATGGCTGCCTTCTTGGACCACCCGAATATTGTCCGCTTTGTGGGTCTTTCATGGCGCACTTTGCCAGATTTGTGCATGGTTTCCGAGTATGTTGCGCTTGGCGACCTGGCGCACTTCCTGGCGCAGCAGGACAGCAAGTATCTCACCTGGAAAGAGGACAAGTTGCCCATTGCGGCGGATATTTCCAACGCTCTCGTGTATTTGCACTCACTGTCACCCATCGTGTTGCACCGAGATCTCAAGTCACTCAATGTGCTCTTGACTGAAGATCTCCAAGCCAAGGTGAGCGATTTCGGGCTGAGTCGGGAGACAAGCTTTGACGAAACCATGACTAGCGGGGTGGGCACTCTCCTCTGGACAGCGCCCGAGGTGCTACGAGGCGAACGGTACTCGGAGAAGGCCGACATCTATTCGTTCGGTGTCGTTCTTGCCGAGCTGGACACGTGTATGCCTCCATACGCCTACAGCCAAGGCAGGAAGAACAAGGGCAAGAACGACATGGACTGGGTGCCGCTCATTGCCAGCGGCCGTGCGTCCCCTCCATTCCGGCCTGACTGCCCACGAGCGCTCCGCGACCTCGCAGCGCAGTGTCTGGACCAGGACCCGAACAAGCGCCCACCGGCCATGCAGATCGTCTACTTACTTCGGTCCAAGATCCCGCACATGCTGTAAAATTGTCGTTATTCAAGGAAAAAATCCAGTTAACTGAAAATATTTTTCATATTTTCCATGTTGGCGGACTGTTGCAAGGTTAGAATGCTTGAAGACTCTTGCATAGGCAAGAAGAATACGCGACTAAAACCCTCAGGCGGCAATTCTGCTTAGATTTTGGAACTCGCGCTGCTGGTTCCTGCTGTGCAGCAGTTGCTTGTGGAAAGTGGCGTAACGACTAGCCAAGCGTCGAGGCTGCGTCGCTGATGCTTGGGGACACGAGAGGCCTGGGGCGTTCAGCAATGGCCGTTGCCGTGCAGGCTTTCGAGCTGCAATGCTGTGACCAGGGAGGAGGCACCTGAAGTGGAGCGAGGGTCACCTCATCGCGTGCGAGTGGTGCGTGCGAGACTGCTAACACTAACCAACCGACCGACAGGCTGGTACACAGCGGAGTGCTGCTGGCAAGTTGACGTTGCGGTGAGGTCGAGAGCCCTACTTGCCCTACTAACCGCCCGACACTACTATCAACCTTATTGAGGATGCCATACACGTCCACGCGTGTACATGCGAGCTTCGTTGTGTTGCACGCCGGGTCTGCTGATAATTCCATACCCGACGCTGGTAATACCAACGCGACTGCACAGCCGGATCGGATCGTTCAAGGCCCTACATCGTCTTCTTCGTCCGACGGGTCTTCTATAAGTGACGACGAACTGGGTCTAGCTGTTGGTGGTGGTCTCGTGGTCATAGTACTGATCTGTATCCTTTTCGTTGGCCACAAACGACGGCGTAGAATGGAAAAAGACGTCACACCCGAGCCATCTCCAGGCACATTGGACGCCTCCTCTAGACGTTCCCCAGCAGCGGACGCTCAAGAGCTCTACGTCCTCGACAGTAATTCCTTCATGTCTTCATCTATTTCGTTTGGTTCTCGAGTCTCCTGCTTCCTACAAGAACAGTCCACTCAAGAGGAAGCCAACGAGTCCTGGAATCATCCAGAGGTGACTGCAGTTCGCGTATCTGTTAGTGAGATATCGCTAGACGAACTCGTAGCTCGAGGCACCAACAGCGAAGTGTATCGCGGCCAGTATAGAGATCAAATGGTAGCTATTAAGAAGCCTCTGCCAAATTGGCTTGGAGATCGCAACAACCTCGACGCATTCTTCGCAAAAGTCCGAGTGCTCTCGTCGCCATCGTTGACACATCCTAACATCGTGTCGTTCCTTGGGGTGTCGTGGAGATCGCTCGCTTACGTGTGTATGGTATCTGAATTTATGGCTGGTGGAGACCTGCGTTCCTTATTGACTCGACGACATCATCACCACGCTCTTGTACGAGATGAATTCAGTCGACGGGGATTTAGCCGCCAGAAAGTATCCATAGCATCTCAAGCAGTGAGCGCATTAAGCTTCCTACACGCTCAAGGACTCGTACACGGAGCCATTCGGTCTCGAAACGTTCTGTTGGATGAAAATCTCAATGCAAAGCTAACAGGTTATCAAAGGAACAGTGCTCAGTCGGCCATGGATCGAAGGAGATTGAGCCACGAAGCTTCACTCCTCTCAGTACCCCCACGGCTTTTAACAGCGGCCGTCCCGATCGGAGTGGCGGACAGGTTACGACGAGAACGCACTCGGTTTGACGCTCTATGGAGCGCCCCGGAGGTTCTTCGTGGCGAGCGTAGCAACGCGAAAACCGACGTGTTCTCATTTGGAGTGATTTTATGCGAACTGGACTCGTTAGCAGCTCCCTATGGCTACAGCGGTCGATTTGGCGAACACGGCGACAGTGCGGAGCTGTTGGAGAAAGTAGCAGCAGGCCACGTCCGCGTGCATTTCACCAGCTCGGGGAGAGCCAGACACGGACGGCGAGGGTCATCGTCGCCCTCGGAGATGGATCCCCGTATCACGGCGGCCATCGTGCGACTGGGCAAAGCTTGCGTGGCGCTGGATGCTTTCGAACGCCCCTCGGCCGCCCAGGTGTCGGCTGAGCTACACAAGCTGCTGCAGACGCCCGACCCCGAGCTTAGTCGTACGCAAGGACCGACGACAGCGTAGCGGGGCAAAAAATGACGCCTTCAACGTGAAAATGTCATTGTTCATGGCCAGCCGTGTTTGCCAGCTGTGGCGACCTCATAGATACTTTGGCAACAGCTTCAATGTGTCATGCAGTCGGACGGCATCACAAAATGCACTCGAGTCACAGCGAGGTCGCCTGTTTCCAGCTAACAACGAGTGATTATTTCGTGTAGTGATGGCCGACTGCATTTGCGATGACGTGGTCCGTTAGCACGCTACAAAAAGCACCGCCACGCACTCGAAAACTCTCATGCATGCTCGGCAAAACACTTGCCGTGCGTAGTGCGGCGGTGTTGCAATTGTGTCGTCACACGAAATGATACTGAACCCAACGCTTTGACGGGCAATCCCACGGCGAAAAAGCGTCAAGATGGTAGCTGCACTCACGCGTAAAGCGCGTCCGACTTTGACGTTTATTCAGCATAAGAGCATCTCTACCAAAGCTATTTTTACTAAGGGTGCAAATTCAGAACCCTCATTCACTTCCACCCACTAATCATTCCCTTGGAGAACATATCGATTTGACAGCGCTGCTGTCCATACCTACCTTCGAAATATATCGTCATTGTCCCTTTCGAGCTCAGCAGTGCATGCCGCCGGTCTTCCCCATCTTAGGCGTCGCACCGGCACGTATCGCACTACCATAATGGGCGTCCTGCGCCGTCTTCAGCGCCAAGATTCGCCTCAATCGAATGCAGACGACTCGGATGGCTTCAATTTATTGTATCTGATCCCAATCATCCTCGGAGGGCTCCTTGTCCTTGGTCTTCTTCTATGGCTACTATATCGATACCATCGCACCAGTCAAAGCCAACGTAAAAGCTCCGAAGACTTTGAGAATCTCACTACCCCTCCAATCGTCGAACCTCACCACCGCCAAGCCGATACAACCAACGCACCAGCCGTCGTGTCACCCATGGACCCCATGGCCTCCTTCTCGTCCTTTAAAGACGAAAATGCCAACAAGAACGTGTGGCTCAGTGGCAGTGGACGCACCGTCAGAAGCGCTGGCAGCAGCAGGAGTCTAACCGCTTCAAGTGTCGTCGACTACGCGTTGACGACGCCCCAGAGAGACGAGATCTTCCACATCTTACACCACGACCCTCAGCTTGCCACTCAGAGACTTGCAGTGGATAAAATCGCCTTTGAGCGGGTGTTAGGAGAGAGCGCAACAAGGCAAGTGTGGCTCTGTCAGTTCGAAGGCGAAGAGATCGTCGTCAAGAGGCTAAATCCGCCAGACAGCGACAACGATGACATCTTCCCAGGTGTGATGAATTTCGTACGTGAAATTCAACTCACGGCGTCACTGGAACACCCAAATATTGCAAAGTTTCTGGGTGTTGCATGGGGGCAAAGTTTACGTTCATTATGCTTTGTTGCCGAATATTTCGCAAAGGGAGATCTGGCGTCGTTTCTGCGAAGAAATCGTCATCGTCGACTGCAGATGAACCTGCAACTGTCATCGTCGTCAGTGTCCGATGTCTCGGGGGGTTCATCGTCTTCAGGGACAACAAACCAAACGGCAACGACGGGGCCTCCGTCACTACAAAGTTCTGGATCTGGGTTCATGCTCACGAGCTGGATCGACGATAAATTACCCATCGCCATCGGTATAATACGAGCTCTTATGTATCTACACTCGCGCCGTCCGAAGCCGATTGTGTATCACGTGCTACGGGCGAGAAAAATTGCCGTGAGCGACCATTTCGAGCCAAAACTCATCGACTTGACTCCTGCCGCGGAGGGCTCGCCACCTATAGACCAGGAGCAAATGGCAGCCGGAATTGGCAACGCCTTCTGGACTGCCCCAGAGTTGCTAACGGGGGGCTCACCCACGCAAGCCACGGATATTTATGCGTTCGGAGTGCTACTAGCCGAGATCGACTCGGAAGCCAAACGACCGTACCATAGTGCGCGAGATTCTAGATCTGGAGAGAAACTACGCGCCTTCCAGGTGCTGAACCTTGTGGCCAGTGGAGAGCTACGACCTCATTTTGCTGCGAACTGCCCCTTAGAAGTTCGCGAGATCGCGCTCGCTTGCATGCGACAGAACCCTATGCAGCGTCCTACGGCGCGTGAGGTTCTCCTGGCACTGCAGGGCAGTAGAGCTGGCAGTGCTGCATGAAAGAAAGTGGACACATGTTCACCATGAGATGACGCCATTGCAGCGTAGTCGGACAATTAAAATTGTAGGAATTGTAGGAAATTGTCACTGGCAATTTGCCAGGTACGAAAAGGAAATGAAATGTGAACGTTATGAGATTTAAAAAAAGTAGGATAATTACATGATTTTAACTATGGAAATACTGTAAAGTGCTACGAGATAACTGGAAATTGAAGACAAAACGCTTAGAAGACGTAGGATTCTTCCGCTTCTTCCTGCGCAAACGCGCGCATAACGAGCTGCATCTGGTACAGCGCCTGGGAGGCTGTCGGTCGTGCGTCGGGCTCGAAAGCCACACAGGCTTTGCCTAGATGCACCATCGCTTCCAGTGCTGGCGACGCTGGAGGAGTGAACTCCACGCTCAGTCTCCCACTGGACACAAGTTGCAAAATTGCTGTGTCCGGAATAATACGTCCCGTTTCCGTGGTTTTCGCACTTGCATAGGGAAGTTTGTGAGAATCCAGTTCGCTGAGCACGACGCCAAAGGAGAATAAATCGGCCTTCTCGTCGTATCTTTCCCCCATCATGACCTCCGGCGCCATCCACAGCGACGTCCCCACGCCTGCAGTCATGGTGCGGTCACTGCGCTCTCTGGACACGCCAAAGTCCGTGAGTTTGGCGCGCCATCTTCTGTCTAGCAAAATGTTCTTGGACTTGAGATCGCGATGCAATACCATGGGGTCTAAACAGTGTAAATATGTGAGTGCATGGGCCACATCCAACGCCACTCTGGCCTTTTCCGCGTCAAAGCCCACAGGGCGATGGTCCACCTCGTCAAATTTGATCAACAGCGCACGCAAATCGCCGCCCTCCATGAACTCGGACACGACGCACAAGTCCGTGAGCGAGTCCCAGGCTACACCCACGAAACGTACGACCCGATCGTGTTCTAACGCAGCCTGCAGCTTGACTTCGGCCAGGAATTCTTCAATCTTGGCCAGATCTTTTCTTGACTCGGGTAATAGCCTCTTAATGGCTACATCCCGGTCCTTGTATGTTCCCTTTAACACTTCACCGAATCCTCCACGACTTATCACCTCGCCCGGAGTGATTCTATCCATTGGGATGCGTGCTGCTACAATAGCAGGGTCGTCCCAGAGTCCTCCGTGGCCGGAGCTTGGCCACGCTGAATCGTTGTTGTTACTGTTGCTGTTTGCAGTCCGAGCACTGCTACTCGTGCTGTCTCTGTATCCCATGGCACGTCTGAAACTCTCATGCGCTTCAAACGAATTAATTCGACTCCGTGCCGATGTATCGAAAGAATCAAGGTCTTGCGTATCCTCATAACTCCGTTCGAAGCTCGGCTTTTGCACCGACGGGTCGCTGGCCAAGAAGGACTGGTCTATACTGGACGATCCGCGGCTTCCCGTGGGTTTAAGCACTGCAGGAGGCAGTGAGCTGGCATTCACGGGCGACGTCATGACGTAGAAGCCAGCGTGAGCGTCCATGGACCCCGAGAGCTTGGTGGAACTGAGAACCGGGTGCTGGTTGGCGGCCGTAGCGATGCCTGGAGATAGTTGACTGGCCGGTGGATTGGGCGCCAGGTTGACGTAGGGCTCAAGTGCCAATTCCTTGTTGCGCTTGCGCTCTTTGCAGTAGAAGAAAAGCCCCACAACGATGAGGATTACGGCAAGAACCCCCACAGCCGCGCCGATGACGATGGCGTAGGGGAAATCGGACGAAGAGGACGAGGCTGCAGCGGAGGATGCAGACGCCGCCAGCCGCCGTAAGCCGCTCGTCATGATGCAAGTCGCTGGTCTATTGGCCTTTGGTGGACGCTGCAGGAAGTGCGATCGTTTATCGCTTGGAGGGTGATGAGCAGCTGTTTTCGTTCACTAAAAAAACTCTTCCAGAAAAGTTCAGGTAAAAAAAAAAAACACAAGGCGTGAGATACTCGCCAAACTGTTGGTGGCAAACGGAAAGTGGCAACAGACGGCGAGTTGCCTCTCGGGTGTTTTGGGGCAGGACCTACGATCACGGAGGAAAAAGATGACTACACTGTCTTCAACTGTATTGTGTGTCTTATGCCCTGTAATGGGTACGCACTGTACTCTATGGCCATGAAGGACGATAAAGTCGATGAAGCCTTTTGGGAGATTGAACGCCCCTGGCAGTATTTGTCCTTGAACCAGACAATCTGTGACGAGTCTGGCAGATTGTTCCACACTGAGTTTCTGCTGCAGTTGCCCCAGCACTTTGATATGGTGTAGCACCGCTGGGTGTGCTCGAAACTGAGCAATTTACGACGATCGTTGAAGTACACGTACATCTTGGCCAGCACTAGCATCAGCATTGCAATTTTGGCGACTGCGAAGGTCATGGGTTTCAGTACTCGTCGAATTACCGGGGCTGTCTTCGCGAGAATTTTCAAGAGGTTTCGGTCTGTCTGGTGTGTGGCGACTTGATAAATGGGGCACATGATGACCTGCTAAAGCGTGGATCCGTGAGGAAAGCCTTTAAAACGCTAAGTAACTGGGCTGTCCGTTGTGGATGGTCTTGAAATCCAGATTTGTGCTCCGTGTTTGGTCATTGGCAAGTAAAAAAAAATTAGAAACCACCCACGAGTTTGCGTTTTGCAAAGGATTTTTAATTTTAAAAAAATAAAAATGGAGCTATTGTATTGTCAAGATATAGCACTTGCATCACTGCAACTCATGATGCCATTGCATCTAGGTCAACGACCACACGATCTCGCCTGGGTTCGGGAATCCGCTCATCTCGGAGTTCTCGCTGTGGTCGTCCCAACAGTGAGAAATGGAGTAGCACCGTTGTGTGTGGTCACAGCCGAAGCCCATGATTCACCATCAGTAATGATAGTAATAGCAATGCTGTGGTTGCAACACGAAACGAGGACTTCATTCGATATGGAATTCTGTCGTTTCAACAAAAATTCCGGATGAAGGTAGAAGCCGCGGTAGATTAGTACTAGTTTTAACTGAGGGAACTCCCACACGATACGTATTATGTGGACTTTGAAAAACCCTGAAATATTGGATGATATATCCCAGCACATTGCTCTCTGCACGGTAAAACATAGTTGGACATGGCTTATTATCCAACTTTCGCTGTCTTGCAGAGTCAACTCAACCACCGCACATGACCAAACCTGTTTCAACTCTACTCGAATCGAACATTGGAACGCAAAACCACTCGCTTCCGAAACTGGAAATACGATGCAAGGACCTCTCAGTAATTACCGAGTCTGAAGAAGTGAATTCGTCGGCGTTGCCGTCCATTTGGAACCGTGTCAAGAACGCGGCTACCAAATTCGCTAGAAGTTCCACTCAACGCCGCGTGCTGAACCAAGTGAACGCTGTGTTCAAACCTGGAACTCTCACACTGGTAGTCGGCCAGCCAGGATCGGGAAAGTCAATTCTCATGAAAGTACTGAGTGGTCAACTTCCCATGGGAAAGAATATCACAGTGGAAGGCAACATTTCGTACAGCGGATTGGCATGGAAAGAAGTGTTACCAAAGTTGCCACAACTAGCCGCTTACGTGCCGCAAAGCGACCAACATTTTCCTTCACTTACAGTGCAGGAAACCCTCGAGTTTGCCCGTGTCTGCTGTGCTGGAGATACACCATCGAGAGACATTATTGGTCAGCTTGGGCTACAAACTTGCCGAGACACAAAACTTGGCAATGGCATGACTCGTGGAGTCTCTGGTGGAGAACAGCGACGCGTGACGACTGGAGAAATGGCAATTGGCAATAAATGTGCCTTTTTCATGGACGAAATCAGCACTGGCCTTGACAGTGCCACAACTTTCGACATCGTCCGGAAACAGCGCGAAATTGCGAAGCAGCAACACAAAACGTTTGTCATGGCTCTTCTGCAGCCTGCACCTGAGGTTTTCGAGCTCTTTGACAGCATTTTGTTGCTGAATGAGGGCGAGGTTGTCTATCACGGACCACGGGACCAAGTTTTGCCTTATTTCCAGACACTTGGCCTGTTGTGTCCTCTTGACGTCGACGTCGCTGACTTTCTATCGGATATTGGCACAAAACAGCAGCGGCAATATGAATCTGGTCGATCTATATCTACGCGAGTTCCAAAATTTGGAGGTGAATTGGCAGATTGTTTCAGACGATCTTCAATTTTCATGAAAACGATGAGAATTTTGGATACTCCGTGTACTATCGAGCAATTCCATGACGCCGTGCAACACTTGATGAAAACACCAACATTCCGACAATCGTTCTTGGTTAGCACACTGTTGCTAATTCGTCGCCAAATGACGATATCATTTCGCAACAAGGAGTTTCTTTGTGTACGTGGAGTGATGGTGGTGATTGGAGGTGTTATTTACGGGACAACATTTTTCCGAGCTGACCTCACCAACGTTCAAGTGACAATGGGAATTGTATATCAGACTGCAATTTTCTTGTCAGTGGGGCAGTCATCTGAAATTCCTACATTCATCGCAGCACGGGAGATTTACTACAAGCAACGCCGTGCCAATTTCTATCGCACGTCTTCGTTCGTGATTGCGTATCTAACAGCAGCGTTACCTGTGCTCGTGAGTGAATGCGTTATTTTCGGGTCGTTGGTGTACTGGATGTGTGGATTCGTCGCGGAGGTCGCCCCGTTCTTGGTTTTCTTGCTCGGAATGATTTTGTCCAGCGTGGCATTAAGCAGTTCCTACGTGATTTTGTCTGTTCTTTCGCCCAATGAAGACGTGGCTCAACCGTTATCCTCGCTCTCCACCGTTTTATTCAGCGTTTTCGCAGGTTTTGTGGTACCCATGGCTGAAATTCCAGCGTATTTTTCGTGGTTGTACTGGCTAAACCCCGTGACGTGGTGTGTGCGCTCGGTGATCGTGAGTCAGTATCGCTCTCCCAGCTTTGATGTGTGCATGTATGGCGATAAAAACTATTGTGAACGGTTCAATTCGACCGTAGGGGAGTATCTGTTGTCGCAGTACGACGTGCCGTCAAGAGAAGGGTGGGTCTGGGGTGGTATGGTTTACCTGGTTGTCGCGATTGTTCTCTTCGTAGCAGTAGCAAATTATTTCCTCGAGCACAAGCGATTTGATACTACGTCGGTAGCAAACAACGTCAATTCGAGACTAACAAAACACTCAAAGAAGGAGGAGGATAAACTTCAAGTGCAGCTGAAAGAACAGTATTCGAACGCTGGAAATACTGACTATTACTTCAAGATTGGATCTTTAGTCTCAAGCACAAGATTAAATCTTGTATCCGATACTGCCGATGATAAAAAGCAGTTTAAACCGGTCACATTGGCTTTCACGAATCTCTGGTATTCGGTGAAAACGGATCACAAGTCGATTGATTTACTCAAGGACATTAGTGGGTACGCACTTCCAGGTACAATGACGGCTCTTATGGGGTCCTCTGGTGCTGGTAAAACCACGCTGATGGACGTAATTGCTGGTCGGAAGACTGGGGGAACGATGCGAGGAGAAATTATGTTGAATGGCTTCCTCGCTACTGAAAGAGCGGTACGACGCTGTACCGGGTACTGCGAACAACAAGACACTCACTCAGAAGGGTCGACAATCCGCGAAGCTCTCATGTTCAGCGCTCTGTTGCGTCAAGACAGCAGCGTCTCGACAGAAGCTAAGTGTGGATTTGTAGAGGAATGTTTAGATCTTCTAGGCTTACGTTCGATCGCTGACCAAGTGATCAGAGGTCGGTCGCAGGAGCAGATGAAACGCTTGACAATCGGCGTGGAGTTGGCTGCACAGCCCAGTGTTCTCTTCCTGGATGAGCCTACAAGTGGCTTGGATGCCCACTCAGCGAAGATGATCATGGATGGCGTACGAAAAGTGGCAAATACCGGACGCACGGTCGTGTGTACAATTCATCAGCCATCGCCCGATATTTTCTTTCTCTTTGATAGTTTGTTGGTGCTAAAACGTGGTGGTGAAATGCTTTTCTTCGGAAATTTGGTCAATCCGTTTCCAGATCAACGTGAATGTGGACATTTGATCGACTATTTCGAGTCGATTCCAGGCGTTCCTCGCCTTCCTGAAGATCAGAATCCTGCCACTTGGATGCTTCAATGCATTGGTGCTGGTGTTGAAACTGTGGGAAATAATCAACAACATGTCGACTTTGTACGCCATTTCTATCACAGCCACGAATACCTATCTCTCTTTCATCACCTGAACCATCCGGGTGTCGCTAAACCTGCGCTGGATCAGTTATCAGAGGTCACTTTTGACAACAAACGTGCTGCCAATTCGTTGGTACAGTTAAGTTCATTGATTAGGCGGTTCTTCACGATGTATTGGAGGACCCCGTCGTTCAATCTTACGCGTCTTGTGATTTCGCTGGGTCTAGGATTATTTTTCGGTCTTTTACTTGTTCGTGGAGATTATACAAGTTACCAAGGAATTAACTCGACAGTAGGTGTGATCCTGATGACAATTCTTACCCAAGGGAACATTTCTTTCTACAGTGTTCTTCCGTTCACAGCCGTGGAACGAGCTTCCTTCTACCGTGAGAGGAATGTACAAACGTACAACGTATTATGGTACTTCGTGGGGTCAACGTTAGTCGAGATTCCGTATGCTTTTACTAGTGGATTGCTATTCTCCGCCGTCTTTTATCCAATGATGGGGTTCTCGTCTCTAACGACAGGCTTGCTGTACTGGATCAACGTGTCGCTTTTTGTACTGGTGGAGACTTATCTCGGACAATTTTTGGTATACGCTTTACCAACACTCGACTTGGCAACAATTGTGGGTGTCCTTTTCAACTCATTCTTCCTGCTTTTCTCTGGATTTAATCCACCGGCAGCATCGATTCCCATTATGTACAAGTGGTGCTATTACATTTCTCCACATCGATTCTCGTTGTCGTTGCTGGTCGCACTCCTTTTCGGTGCATGCTCTCAAGAGCAGGACAGCAACGAGAACACAGTATCACTACAAGATGGAACTCAGCAGACCGGCTGCCAAATCCTTGAGAACGCCCCGCTGTCGATTAGCCGCATCACCGTCAAGGACTACATCGATCAGGTCTACAATATCAAGCACGACGATATGGGGCTTTACTTCAGGTGTATTCTCGTCTACATTATCGCCCTTCGTGTACTTTCACTACTTGCTCTTAGACACCTCAATCACCAAAATCGATAACACATGAAGGGAGTTTTTTTCCGGCATTTCTCGTTTTTCTTGCAGCGCAAATTTCTGAACCCTTTTTGTAAATAAGAAAAATTACTAATAATAATGTTGATTTTAGAAATAAATGTTTCGTTTTTCAGTTCGACCAATACACACTTCAAGATAAAGTTACGGAATGAATTACATTATTGGTCCCACACGTATCCAATGCCAAGGATTGACGACGATGTTTCTCTTACTCGGTTGCCTAGGATCCACCAACAAATAGAAAGGCGTTCCGACGGGAACATTTGATATTTACAGCTTATAAGTAGTATCATCCAATGGACACGTTTAGGCAGTGGAATGACTGTGCTTTGCAGCGATTTCCACTGCAGCCACTGCTTGTTTTCACTTTTGACAAATTGTCAACGAACGCAGGCAGCAAACGGGATTGTGGTTACTGCAAACATCACAGTGTGGATGTATTACGAGCCGAAGCCACTAATGCGTACTGCTCTGGACCATATTTCTATGGAGTAAAACCCTTTTCAAGGCTAGCACCAAAACTATGTTCGTTGCAGGGGCTCTCGGTGTCTAAATAAAGCGCACAGTTACGGTCTTCACCCCATATTTTTTTATACGTGCTTAACGGAGGCTGGGTAGCTTATAACATAGCGAGTCTGACAAGAGTTTCAGGAGGTAGTCGCCTTTGACGCCGTAATTCACTCAATTTTAGGAATTGGGAGGTAAAAAAAGGTATGTACCTCTCCCCCTATGTATTGGCGGGGCGCTCGACTCAGTTTTAGTGCCAACGGAAGGCGTTTTAAACTCTAAAATGGCCCGCTTTAGAAGCAGGTTTTTGGCCCTGTTACACTGAAAATTCACACAAATACGTTAAATAGTGCTAAATTTTCTTCCAATAACGTTAGAGATGATTCAAATCCTAAGATTTAGTAATGATTACAATACAATGTAGGCTACGAGTAATCAAGTCGCGAAAAGCCGTAATCTACGGCGAGCGAGGTGGCTGGTTCACCATCTCAATATTCCAGCCGCCTTTCTCTCCAGCGGCCACAGTATCATGGTCAAAAACAGATACGTGGGGCCCGCCTTGTCCTGCGCTATGGCGACTTTATTCTCGAGGGTTCACTTCTTCGATCCAGGCGTTCATGGCATGTGTAGGGGTGTGGTGGAGTGGGATTCGCAAAATCGCGTTGCGATCCACTCAGACACACAGTGCCCTGCACTGCCGACTGACGGAGGGGGTACTCCGATAACCGTGGGGTTGCTGAGGGCTCACCTTGTGTACCCGTCGGCGGGGCTGG